AAAAAACCACACACAAAAACCCAGCGACCCTGTTGCTCAGAGCTTGCGCTCTTAACCAACTGAGCCACTCTGCCAGCCCCTTTCCCAGAGTTTTTAAACTTGAATTCATGGATGTATATGCTAGAGGGAGAAGAAAACTTTTATGGGCTTAAAATAATGGGGTTTTCACATATGTGTTAGCACTAGCAATGCTATGTTCTAAGAACTGAAGCCAAAGCATTAAATAACATGACTGATAAGCTTCTTGCAATTCCAGAGTAGGTGCAAGCAGGAAAAACAAGGATACCTTTTTAGGGAAGTTTCTTTTCAGGAGGTAGCAACTCCAAGTGGCCGCAGCCTCTTGAGGAGCTATTGGTTTATTAAAGGGCCCATGTCTCCTGTCTTGCATCACTCCTTTGTCTAGAAGTTTGGTGCTGTCGGGGAGAAGATCACAGTGTGCATGGGTGAAGATGCATCTAGGCTGATCTATCACAAGTTTGTCTAGAGACCAGAGACTGGATGAGGCAATCTCCCCAGACACTTCCAGAGGTATCTAAAGAGTCAGGAACCTTGGTCACAGGGAATAGCCAAGAGCCAGGGAGAGAGGAGTCCCCCAAATGAAAATCCAGGCAACACCTCTTAGATAGTTTCAGCCTTCTTCACCTTAGATGAGTTATCTGCCTCCCCATTCCACCATTTGAAATATATTTTTAGGATATTTTCATGAGCAACACGTTTGCCAGCCCTTTATAGATCAGTTACAAAACAGAAACTCTTCCTCACTGCTAGGCAGAAATGTGGCCGGGCTGGCAGGGTGGGGGTGGGGAGGGGGGTGAGGAAGAAAAAAAAAAACCTTGCCTGTAATTGAAGGCAGGTTGAGAGATGTTCATGCTTTGAAATCCTCCTTCTTGTGAAATGTTTATGAAACATTTTCCACAAACTAGTTACGCAACTGGGACAACAGCTTTGATCATTTTCATCACCAGTGATATATTCATTAGCGTAGGGCTGTTTTTCCCCCCATGTAAAAATGTCATGGGGAGGAGGGTGAGGATGAGCACCGAGTCCCCCCATACCTGATCACATGATTCCAAATGGTTAGTAAGTAAGTCCAGGTGTATGCCTGGGCCAGAACACCATCTTCTCCGTCACGTATGGTCTATTTTCTCTTCTATCCTTGGAATGTTTATAGTATAGTTTTGCAGAAAGAGCACCAAGGGAGGGAGGGTCAGAGGACCATTCCTTTGTCAGAGTTTTGCCAGTGTTTAGTCGTGTAACCTTATATCCATCTGTGAAGCTGTCTGGGCCTCCATGAGATGGGAAGGTAAACACTTGTCCCCACACCTCCTGGTTGGGAGATGAAGCCAAGTAAGGAAAGTGTGAAGGGCTTTCAGCTCCTCAGAAGGGGCTCTGTCTCCTTCCAGAATGAGGCTACTGCTTTCTAAAGCAGGTGATGTCAGGGAGTTCACTGGGATTAGAAAAGATAATTATCCATGAGACCTTTTTACCTCCCTGGTCACTGCCCAAACTCAGTGTAATATCTTTTGCACAGTGCAGTAGGTGGAGAAGGTCCTAAGTTAACAAACCTTGTCTCATATACAAACAGAATGATCAATGGCTGTGACAGGGCAGAGCTCTCTGTGGTGGTCCATGTCCCCAGGGATTAGTTCATCTCAAGTAGAGTCTGGAGAAATATTCCACTTGCGTGAGAAGAACCGCCAAAAGGACCCTGGAGACAAACTTCACGATTCCAGGCAGGCTGTGGGTTGGGTTTTCACAAGCATAGGGGAAATTGGGTTTTCATCCAATTTGCCTCCGGTTCTCACATTAGAAGTCAGTGGGATCCAACAGAAGTCTCTCTATCTCACTAGATCCACAGCCAACACCCAGTGGCCTGGAAAGGTTCCAATTTTTTCCATTCGACAGCTGTGAAAGGGATTTTTTTGATTTGGGGAGAACTTTAGTTTTGAATTTCTTAGTTCCTGAGCCCCGAAATCTCAGAGAATTGTTGGAGAAGTGTGCTAGAGGGAGTGAGTTGATGCTGTATCTTCTTCCCTTTTATTCCCTCTGTGCTCTGTCTGAGACCCACCGACCAAAGCAGGGATTTTAGAACTTGCCATAGAAAAAGAAAGCCTCCTTTATTATCTTTCACTTTGGTTTGTTTAGGATTGTCCTTCTTTGGGGGTTACTGTCAGCAGCCTACACCCAAGGGGTAATGAATTACGAAAAATGAAAGAGTAAAAGGTCTGCAAAGAAAAAAACTCAGAAGAATAACAGAACACCACAGACTAACACCCAAAGGAAGTTTCTGCTATCAGGCACTTCATTTTCAGAACTGGGAGGTGGGCAGTGACCCTAAAAGAGTTTGAAGGGCAATTGATCCAGGAAGCAGATGAAAGGGTGAGTTTTCTTTTATGATGGCTCTAGTTTCTGAAATTAAGTGTTGCAGGAAGACCTGGCACTGATTCTAACAGATAGCACTCAGGTTGGAGGCAAAGCACATGTTTTCAAGCTCTGTCATAGCTGCACCTCCTTATCTCTCCACTGAGCATAATGAGTCTATAAGGGAACCCTGCCACTTGCCTGCAAGCTGGAGCCAGGCCAAACTGCCTGAGGTGGTTCCACCAGCTCCAGTGTTCCATGTTCTCCCCCTGCCCCCCTCCCTTCATCCTGCCTCACCTATCCCTCTCTGGGATGAGGGATACAGAAGGCTTTGCTTAAGTAAAATTTCCTCTCAGAGCAAACCGTAAGATTTTTTGTTGGTGGTGGTTTTAAATAAGGAGTTTGTCCTCTCTTTCTAGCTTTTTAAAACCTGCTAACAAATGTTTCCTTGTAATTTAGGCTGTGAGAACTCCAATTTCTGGGGAAAGAATTAGGACACCAGAGCTTCTTAGACAGCAATGCCAAGCATGGGTGGGAAGAGCTAAGGGGCGCTGGGGGACAGGGATTGGGGTTGTGCTAGAGATCATTACCTGGTGGCCGTGCTTCTCGGGTTTTCAGAAAGCCTCCCTTTCTGTGCCCACCGTGCGACTTACTCTCTCTCTCCCTTCCTCCTTTGTGCTTCTGAGGCTCAGAATAGTCTCCTTAGGTGAGAGAGAAAGAGAGGAATGATTCATAAAAACTCCCTGCAAGAAGCATCCTCTTACCAATTTCTGTGCAACCAGAGCTTCTTGGTGCTTTCTAGATCTGCTTCATCTAAGAACACTGCAGCAACCTGGACTAGCTCAGTCTGCCAAATACACTATGGAATTGCAATTTGTAATTCCATTTTAGGACTAAAGGGGGGGGGTGTAAATCATGTAGAATCATATAACAGACGAGGAAATTGAGTCTTGTAGAGGCTAAACGATTGCTCAGGTTTACATAGTAAATTAGAGTTAGGAATAGAAACAAGGTCCAGTTCCCTCTTCAATGTTTTCCTTGCTGTATCACCCTGGAGATTATGGAGAGATGGGTTATATTTATGTCTTTTACTTGATTAACATGCATTGGGTTCCCACTATCTGCAAGGCACCATGCTTTGGACATCAGCTTCCTCCTCAGTCTCTAATGTCACTCCATAGGATCTTCCTAACTCTCCAACCAAAGGGAATTTTCTCTCTAATGATCTAAGGCACCATTTTTCCACAGGGATGAAGCACGAGTATAGCTGTTAGTCTGAACCTTTAACTTGGGTTAAACTAATACAGACAGGTAAGATTACAGGATGTCAGTGACATTCCCAGTGTAGACCAAGAAAATGGTTTAAGCCAGGATCTCTTTAGCCAAGAGTTTCCATCAAAGGGTCTCCTCAATGTCTTTTATATGGTGTGGTCCAGATCCTGTGCTCCTTGCCATATTATATGAACTCAAACTCGCTCAGCTGCCCTACCCCCATGGACTTCCTGAAGAGCTGCAAGAGGGTAGTTGTTCTCAGGGTGAGTGGAAAGGTGGGCACAAGTAGTGCTCCCTGTCCTTGGACACCTGGAAACCCATGAGTTGGGGTGGTGTTGTCATTGAAGAGTGGTAGAGGCTGGAGAAAGTTTGGAAACTACCACAGGCCCCTCAGGCTTCAACTGCAGCAGTGACTGTGAGGGAGACATGTACCTGCCTGTAGGGAAACAGGCAAAGACGGTCACCAAAGTCACACAGGCAAAGAGGGCTGGCTGCAGAGGTAGCTTAGCATGCAGAAGACAGGGAGGTGTGAAAAACAGTGGGGGAATGGAGGTGAAGCTGGTCTATCAGATCAGTGGTTCCCAGACTTCGGGATTTTGTGGACCGGGAAAATAAAAACCAGAATATGGGGGCGATTGATAAAGGGTTGTCAATTTTGTACTTTGTAAGGTGGGGAGTTTTTAAAATATCATTTAGGATCACCATCACTTAATTAAAGGAATTCTAACATATCCCCCCAGGAAAAAAAAAGATCATCTCAGATTTAAAATAAAATTTTCAAGTCACGACAATATCCTTATTTTTTCTCATTTCAATGAGGAAGAGCATACATTGCGCTGTGTATCAGCACAGTCCCCAGAACGGTGTTTGGGAATGATAGATCTAAGTGCAGTCCCCATCTTGCAGATTGGTACTCCAGAGGGCCGCTCAGCTCTGGCTCCTACCAGCTGCCCTAGCCTAAAAGGCACACACAGGTAGGGAAACCAAGCTGCAGCCCAGCAGGCTCTGTGCTAGCTCTTGACTCCCCGGGCTTATCACTCATCCCCTGCTTGATCTCCTCTAAGTTTCCTTTTCTGTTAGCCTGGGGAGGCCCACAACTGACACTGTCCTCCTGCTTCCGTTTACAGATTAAAACTGAGGATCTCAGTGACTCCTTGCAGCAAACCCTCGTGCATAGGCCATGCCACATGAGTCAAGGACCTGCCATGACATCCGGAAACCAAATGTCTGGGGTAAATGCCGGCCCGTATCAGGGAGCCCTGACATTCTCTGTAGGCCCATGAGTTTAATTCAGGCTTTCTGCAAAATGTGTGACCTCTCCGAGTTGGCACTCAGTGAATCTATATTGGTTTAAAGAATCCCCTGTGGGGAATGTGAGAAAGAGATTGGAGGCCTGCGGTGGGGGTGGGGTTACAAAACAGTCCTCTTAAAGGTGAAGCCTGGCTGGTTATGTGAAAAGGGAGGTCTCGACCTCTCTGGGAGAAAAAGGAGGCAATCTTGCCAAAGCTACAGACCTAGCAGCTACGGGGCTGGTGTCTGCCAGCCACATTCAGAGTAGCCCTATAAAGACAGCTACTGCTACACTTATAGAGAGTTTTTGTCCCCAGTGGGCCCACTCTCCATCCCCAAGTTTTCACATGAAAGCCAAACTAGAACAGTGCTGGTACAGGGAAGAAAGAGGCATCCTAAAATAACAACCACAAATGTCTGAGAGGGCGTTTGTGTGGTGAGCCCCTTTCTTGGTCTGGATTACCTGGGGAAGAAAGAACCACCCCATTTCCTGTCATATTTAAGACTAGAATGTGCATCCATTCATTCACTTCTTCATTCAGCAAGAGTTGACCAAACCTTTTATTTGTGCACTGACCTAAGCTCAGGCCCATGAGGACACAGAGCCTTGGAGGTTTAGATCACAGAGGACTCCCAGATCCCCCAAGTACTGGGATTGGTATTTCCATTTCCTGGACTGGTGGGAGGAACCCAGGGGAAATGGACTCTCTATTTAATCAAATTCGTTTTATTAAGAACTAATAACTTGCCATCTTCCTCCAGGAAAGGTTCAGGCCCAGAAAATGACCAAGACATGGTTTTTAGCATCCTGAAGTGGCGTGAGATTTTTTTTTTTTTTAAAAAAGGACAATTGGGATTGCTTGGGATTGCTTGTCATTTCTTGGGTAAACCTCTGAGAGATGGGTAATACTTAGTCTGTGTCCTCAGGGCATTTATAGTCTAGCTGGGAGACAGGACCGACACACACAAAAGTTTAATAATAAAGCAAGATTTAAGTGACAATAAGTTGCACAGCCCTGCTTGGCTTAGCTGTAACAACACCAGCGTTAATGGAATAGCTACTATGTGCCAGACACTGGGGATACACAGGGGCATAAGGTAAAGGTCACCACCCATTAATTCTCAGAGTCTGGAGACCCATGGGACAGACGGGCAGCGGACAGATGGAGCTGGCACCCCTAGCTTGTAAATTCTGTGATGTTTGTATCTTCCTACATCCAGGATATGACCTCCCTTCATCCCCTCCAGCAGCTCGTACTGGTTCCTGGCCACTTACAGTCTGTATCCCAGTTTCTGCTATCTCAGACCCAACCTGGGCAGCAAGGTAAGAACCCTGGGGTTTTCCACATAGACCGAGTCCAGTAAAGTGCTGCTGTTGCTTACTGGATAAGGGAGCCCAAATGTGAGATATGGGTAAGTGGCTTAGCCCTCTGGTATTAAGACCAGCTTTTCCACATCAAAGGCCTGAGGAAGGGGCCCTGTCATTGCCCCTGAAGACTGAGTCTCCTTTTCTGCTTCCCCCTCCATCTTTCTTAATTTCATGGCCAGTTGAGACTGAAGGTACAAGGGTGGCACAGAACTGGGGTGGTCCAAGGAAGGAGGTGCTCCTTGAGAAATGCAGTGCAGACAAGTCGCAAATCCTTAGAAATCCCTCAGAAGCTTTACTATGATTCTGTTTGGGTAGAGCACCAGTGCCACCCACAGGCTGTAGACAGGGTTTTCAGGTTTTCTTAGGCTGGGAAATTACTATCAGAGAACATCTCCTTGGACAAGAGCAAAGGGATTAGAATATTCATAACAATAGCTAACATTTCTTGAGCATGATATGCCAGGAGCTCTGCTGAGTGATTTTCCTGATTTATTTTTCAGAATAACCTTGTGCAGTAGGTAATCATAGTATGCTATAGTGACCTACTAGAACATTCAAGAACAGTCTATCTGAAACCATGCTCTTGGCCATCACAGTATTGCTTCCCCCTCTCCTGTTTCCACCAACTGATGGAAGTGATGGTCCAAAAGTGATGGAAGAAGTATAACCTCTAGGATCCAAACAAACTGGAACTGTGCCTTCTTTCCTTAGTGCCTTCCCAAATTAAGGTTCCTATCCTTAGTTTCCAAGGCAACTTAGAGTATTACTATGATAATAAATGAGAACATATTTGAATCTTTAAGTATTTATTTTGGCTAAATCATATATATCATACTCCTGGAATATGGAAGGGGAGAAAACACTTAATTCAGTTTCTTTATGGAAGACAGTGATGTGAAATTGGCCCAGCATATGATGCAGAGCAAAGAACACAAACAAACAAAAAGCCAATTCAAAATTCGGAGTAAAAAAAACTCACTGGTAAAAGTTACTAACTGTGTGTCCTTGGGAAACATACTTTAACCTCTCTGGATTTTTATTTCTTCTGCCATAAAAATGGAAAACTAGTAAAATTCTACCTCACAAGGTTATTGAGGGTTATTTGAAATAATGCATATGAAAAGGTTTTGTACACTTCAAAACACAACATAAATGTTAGATTACGATTAGTACTCAGGCTTCTGGACTCCCAGTTCAGGGTTCTTGACCATTTATTTCAATAAGAGAAAGTTAAGTCCTGACTTTTTTAGACTAAGGAGCATGAAGGTCAGCATCAGCAGATGCTGTACATCAGTGACCCAAAACAGGGACAACAGAGACCCCAAGGTTCTGCTCTGTTGAGTGGGGTGACCCACCCCATTGTCTGCTTTGGTAGTTTGATGGCCCCTCCTCACCGTGAAAGTGAGAGGTCCTGACTGTGGTCCTTCCTGGAGGGAGGCCACTGTCACAACCACCAACCAAGCAGAGTCCTTCATGGACAGTTTTCCTGGAGAGGTAAGGAAATAGTGGTCCTTCAGCAGTACAATGAGCAGGTGTAGTCCATACCACCAGATAGTTTCCAGAGGCTTAGCTCCTGGTCTTCTCTTCTTTCTCAGTCCTTCCTCCCAAGTGTAAAATGCCCTGCTAAGAGCCTCTGGCCAATAGTCCACTGCTCTTTGGGGCTGTGTAGCCCCATCCACTTGTTCTGATATCCTTACAGATTTGGCTGGTCTTTTGTAACTGTGCTAACTACTGCTGCAGGCAAAATGGAAATCCTCAGCTTCATCTTGAATTCTTTTTTTTTTTTTTTTTTTTAAGATTTTTATTGGTGAATTGGGGGAATGGGAACAGCACTGGGGAATTGGGGGAAGGGGAGCAGACAAGTTGCTGTCCTTTTGTTCTTCAGTCTAGTTGTGGAGGACATTGCTTCACTGGCCCAAGTTGGCACCATCATTGCGCTCTTCCCAAGCGAGACAGATCGGTCACCGGCTTCTGGACGGCCGCTCACTGTGGCGGCTGGCCGCTCACGCTGGCTGCTGGCTACACACAGTAGCCCATGGCAACCCACTGCCACAGGGGCTGCAGCCTATGCCTTTGCCAGCTCCAGGTTGAGCTGTTGTTCAGCATCTTAGCTGTGGAGGGCAGTGTCACTGGCCCTCATATGTGGGATCCAAACCAGGGCCCTCTGGCGCTGGCGTCCCAAGCCAGTTCTTAACCATCGCGCCACTCAGCCGGCCCTTCAGCTTGAATTCTTAATAGTCATCTCTGCATCTCCTCCCCTCTTGGGTTTTTCCAGCCCTGATTATCAGTTCCCAGAGCAGATTGTCTTGACCTTCCTCAGCTTTGCACCACCCCAGGCAGACGGGCAAGCAGAAGGACTGGTTTGGGGACTGCTGTTTACATATGTTTATCCCTGTGTCTGATTCTCTTCCACCTGTGTGTGGCAATGCCTGGCAGTTCCCGTGGGGGCCTCTCCACAAGACTTGAGGTGGGTTGAGGGACCTGAGTAGGTAGCAAGGGTGGGGACAGTTATCATGGTTCCATAGTTGCAGAGCATGTCTTGCAGATGGCCTGGATTTTATTTGTTTGTTCCTTTGTCCCTCCCCTTTCACCCAGGTCTGCAGCCAAATCTTCTCCCCTTTCCACAGCAACAAAGCTCTCTCCTCCTCCCACAGACTGGACCTGGCCTGGTGTCCCAGGTAAACAACCACATTCTTTCTGTTTCCTCTAGAAATGTCCAGGCTCTTGACAGAGTTAAGGTCATTGGTTTTCCCCCAACCCATTGATGATGCACTTACCCCTCTGGGAAGAGGAATTAGCAGGGGAATAGCCCTGTTGGCACATGGGAAAATCCAAGCCACAGCCAGGGGAAATGATTGACCCAATATCACTAGTACAGCCAGAGAGAACCCAGAGATCTCAGCTCCCAGGCTACCCTGCTCCATAATGCAGGCACTCCACTGTAGCCCTGATCAGGACCTAGCATCACTCATCTCAGAACCAGAGGTCAGCTCACTTTCCAGGGATGCCAAGGCGACTTCCAGCCCTACCTGGGAGCCCACAAGCCCGGGGAAGACCAGAGTTCTATAGGCCTGATGTCCTAAGACCACAAAGCCAATGGCTCTTACCTCTGTGCTCCACTTAAGACCCACTATTCCAGACTGCCTCCTGCAGTGGGCATGTGCATGTGTGTCAGTTAGGATGAAAACCTTGCAGGAGGAGCCATTCGCAGAGCTGCCATAGTTTTACATAGCACCTGTTTGCCAATTACAAAAAAAGGCACTTCTTCCTCTGGCTAGATGCAGCCTCATGTCAGGGTGTATGGCTTGATAAGAGTAGCAGGAGCTTTATTGTAGCTGCCCCTCCTCCCCTATCTGCACAATTAACAACCCGCACAGTTGCGTGAGATGGCTCTGCAGAAGTGGATGTGCAGAAGAGTTGGGAATGATCGCACAGATCCTAATGTCCCTCCTCTGTGCTAAGATCCCCATGGATCACTAAGGGCCCTGGCCTTAGGAGGCTAGAGAGTCCAGTGAAGACATCTGGAAGGAGGATGCCATCTAGTGGCCAATAGAAATGGCAACACTAGCGTCTTAAGCTCTTCACTTCCTCCTGCTGGCTTTCCTCAAGATGAACAATTACGTCTTATAAGAGCCAGGAGAAACAGAAGCAGAGGCACTGCTTAGAAAGTTATTAAGATCATCCTGGACAGTGGTAATAATGGCTTAGGGTTATGACAATAAGACTAGCGGGGAGGGGATGAATGCAGAGATGTTTGGGAAAGTTGGGACAGAGCAATTTGGCATTTGGTTGGATGTAAAGTGGGAGGGAGAAGGCCTAGCAAAGAACCCAGTCTTTGTCAGATGAAAAAACAATGCATTAATGAAAAGGAAGGCTCAGAAAGGACTGAGGCTTTGTCCTGAGGGTCTGTTCTATGCCACCCTCTCCTTTCAAAATAGAACTGAATCCATAATGGTTTCAAATCATTCTGTTCTAAGAGACCCGCCATTGGGGAAAAAGAGTCCTTAACTTCTTTCTGGTCCTTTTGCCTTCCTCATCATAAGGATGGCTATCTTAATGGAAAATCTGAATATCTTGGAAGAGAGAAGGAGCAAAGTTAATTCCAGGCTAGGGAAAGAGTAAACTAGGAAGGAGAGGGGAGAGGGTTGACTCAGGCCACATTATCCACATGAGCAATGACCCCTGCACTGGACACAATGCCTGGACCCCTAGACTTGGGTTCCATTCCTTCCTTGTGGAATGATAGATGTCTTCATAAGTTCAGTTCACTCCTGACCCCAAATGGGTACAACATGGATTCTAGGTTTAATGGTCTGTTTTTTCTATGAAAGTAAAGAAACAATATCTCCTGACAATCACAAATGAAATCAAGGTGCATTTAGATAGCACTGAAATGCCTTTGATTAAAACAAAACAAACAAAAAAAACATTCTCATGAAAGAAAATGATGGTTTAGAAAGTAAAATGGCAGTCACAGAGTTTGAAATTTTACGAAAATTCTGTTAATGTAATGAGTCTCAGATGTCCTCTGTTATCTTCAGTTAATGCCTGTTGAATACCTCAGTAACTTTGCTTTGTGGAAAAAAACAGGCAAAGCAAACAACCTTTTCCTTGTCCTGAGATTTGTTTTTGAAATCTTTGTAAACAACCCTGCTAGTTCCTTTTATGGTGGGAAACTTAAAGGAGGAAGATACCTGCTCCGAATCAAACAGTGAGTCATGGACTAAAACCCACAAAGTCCACCTCCCTGTCCCACACTCCTACTGTTTCTACCCAGCTATTCTAGGTATTTGCTATTCCTTCATAGAAACTCCAATTTCCACTTCAATGCCATTGAAAAAACCGGAACCTAATGTAACCAAGGATCTGTCATTCTCTAAGTGAGCCTATTAATATGAAATATCAGAAAATGCCATTTGATCCATTCACTATTTGTATATCTGCTTGGTTTGTATTCCCTATTAGGCAGTTGGGCGCTCTGGGCTGCCAGGATCCTCTTTAGAACCTCACTTGGAAGCGTCCCAGCATCTCCCAGTGCCCAAGCATTTACCCAACTCTGGAGGGGCTGATGAGCCCAGTGACCTGGAGGAGCTGGAGAAGTTTGCCAAGACCTTCAAGCAGAGGCGCATTAAGCTGGGCTTCACACAGGTTTGGTTCTGTGGGAAGAAATGGAAGAAATTGGGTTGAGTGAGTGGAAACTGGGCTTCCCGAGTGCAGGTTTCAAAAGCAAGCTGAGGCTTGATGTGTTTTGGGGCAAGCCCATCATATCCCTGTGTTCCCTGAAAATAGAACACAGTTACCATTAGTAGGGGAAATTGAGGGCATTGCTGGTGGAGGGGAGAGAAATCAGAACCAGACAAGGGGCCAGGCACATGGGCATAGCCCACTCAGTGTCTGCAGAGAGAAATAAAACAATTCTCCATCTTAGAGGGGGGAAAAAAAACCAGAAAGGAACCAAGGCAATAGGTGGGTGCTTAAAGGCTCACTGGGTACATGATTGGTGCTAGGATGGTGGGGGATGTACACCAGGAAGAGAAGGAGCCTGTCTCCCACGTTCTTCCCTCTCAATCCCCACATGCAGGGAGACGTGGGGCTGGCGATGGGAAAGCTGTATGGCAACGACTTCAGCCAGACCACCATCTCACGATTTGAGGCCCTCAATCTGAGCTTCAAGAACATGTGTAAGCTCAAGCCACTGCTGGAGAAGTGGCTGAGTGATGCAGGTAGGCCTTAGGGACATGAGGATGGATGGTTCCCTAGAGAATTCTACAGGGAAGGGCCTAGTGACTTGTCTGTGTTGGGTCTTTAAACAATCAATACATAACACCCCTTTCTTCTCCTCCTGAGTCTAAAACCACGTGAGAAATAAGACACAGGAGACAGGCAAGTGGAGATGAAAATGTCAGCTTTATTACTGATAAAGCCCTGTGGAGGACATGGCTTTAGGTCTGTGGCCATGAAGACTTGTACCCATTCCCTTCCCTAACCCAGACCCACCCAACCTAGACCTTAGGACAGCTCACCACAGACAAAGGTTGGGTCTGCAGAGCAGACCCAAGATTGCTTTCTGGACTAGGTCTAGGTCAGGGAGATAGAAAAGTGTGTTCTCTAGAGTCTCACTGGGAGGAGGAGGCAGTAGATACAACAGAAGGTCTTTATCTGGCTAATTCTTGAGTAGGTTTTCAGAGGGTAAGGAGTTACTGTGAGTTAGACGGGTCAGGAAAGCCTTACAGCAGGAGTGGGGTTTATAGGAGAATTCAGTCAAGTGTGGTGACCAGGGAAGCATTCCAGCAGGTCAAGGATGTAAGCTAAGGGACAAATATTTGGAATGATGAATGGAAGAGTTTGCTGTCAAAGAATAGCATGGGACAGAGTTTCTCAACTACGGCACTATCAATACCTTGGGCCAGATAATTTTTTGGTGTGGGGGGGCTGTCCTATGAATTGTAGGATATATCCACTAGATGCCAGTAGCACCCACTCCCATGTCTTTGAGACATCCCAAAATGTCTCCAGATATTGCCACATGTCCCCTGGGGAGTGGTGGTAGTGCAAAATCGCCCAATTGAGAACCACTGATCTAGCTGAGAAGGAAGGACCAGAGACAGTGCCAGGGCTGGGCTCTATTAAATAGACACATGTGGATTTGTGGAAAGAGCAGGGTGGGCAGCCAGAGATGTTACCCTCTCAGAAGTTCTTCCGCATGGAAACATGTGAGGGGGCAAGGAAGATTTCTCCCACAGACTGTCCCTTCTGCTGTTTTTATGGAAGCATTTAAGTGAGAGATATGATCAGAGGGTCTTAGGATCTTTGGGAAAGGACCTTATAGATCATGTCTAGTGTGAGTCCCCCATCTGACACCTGAATCCTTCTTAAGGGATATCACTGCCTATTGATCACACAGCCTTAGCTCCAACACTTACACTGAAAATAAAATGGCTTAAACACCAACGTTCTACCACCCGGTACCATTGCTTTTAGCTCAAAGTGCCAGTTCAAATTATACTTGGTGTTCATATCAGGTATACTTATAAAAGACAGACTCGGAAGTATTACTTGCCTGCACCCACTTACACCCACACGTGCTGACGGTGTACCTGAACCATGATCACAAACAATGGAGGTACTGCTATGGGTGTCATGAAGGATCTTTGCAAGAGCAACAAGGAGAAGCAGTGCTCTTGGTCTGTTCTGGTTCCCCTGGTTGGGGGGGGGAGGGGCCTAGTCCTGAAAATGTCTGTAGAACCCACCCAGAAGAGCTGTTGGACTCAAAATCCATTAAGACAGGACCAGCTGTGCATTCCCTTCTTTGAGCTTCCTCTGCTTCTTCACCTCTTGACAGAATCTTCTCCGTCAGACCCCTCAGTGAGTACCCCCAGCTCTTACTCCAACCTCAGTGAAGTATTTGGTAGGAAGAGGAAGAAACGCACCAGCATTGAGACCAATATTCGCCTGACTCTGGAGAAGAGATTTCAAGACGTGAGTGGCTTCTCCAGGTGGGAGCGGGTGGGTCAACTTGTATAGGTGGGCTAGCAAGCACATACAGGCCCCTTGGCACCAACCCCTCAGCACCATACACCTGCCCTGGGAAGGGATCATAAAACAAAGACACACCCCCCTCTATAGGCACCCAGGTGTTTGAGTGAAAGTCTGCCTTTCATCTCGGGTTCCAGGAACTTCTTCCCCCACTGACCCTTCTTTCCCTGACATCTATATATTTGGGGCCATTGCCCCTCTCACTGAGAGATTTAAAGAATGGGATATAAGGTCCCAGAAGAGGGTACAGCTGTGTACCCGGTTGAGGTAAAGGGAGCAAAGCCAGGGCACTGTATATAAATTCTTTATTTTCTATATGTCGTTTTGTATTTTTAATATTATAAATCTCATAAATGCTCATTGTAAACAATTAGGAAAATACAGGAATGTAGAAAGAAAAGAAACCATCAAGTGGCATGTAAATGTATTTCCTTCTATTTCTTTCTTTCACACACATTTAAATACCTGTAGTCATTTTATACACATACATTTTTTTTTAAACTTGTAGCGAAAGCATATTCTTGAGCCAGAATGTGGAAGCTAATAATATCAGCTGCATGCCCCACGAGAGCTGGGGGACAGAAGAGGGAAAAGTAGGTGTGGTCTGAATAGCTTCTAATCAGGGTTCCTTAGGTACCAACCTCCAGAGCCTACATCTGTACCACACAGGTCCCTAAAGGACGTGTCCATGGCCTAGTTCAACCTTGCAGGCCCCAGGCCTCCAGGACTGCTGCCCCTCCAGCAGATTCTCCAGTGCACCTGGCTCAAGGGTTTGATGGCTGCATCCTGCTGACAGGATGACAAGATCTGGCTTTTTCTTCCAATTAGTTTTCTCAGAGCAACAAGAGTAAGGGAGGGTTTAGGAGGGAGGAAAGGGGGCTGAGATCAAAGATTGGGTGGGGTGGGAGGGGTCAGAACAAGAGAGTGATGTATATCTCCTCAGTCTTGATGGATTCCACATTTTAGCTTTAGCATGTTCTATTTTGAGGTAGGACAGGAAGCAATGCCACAAGAGAAACATACCAGGTTATGAGGAAAGAACACAGAGGAGAGCATGGGTTCTGGGAATTCTTCCTGCCCCCACATAACTCACCAATGGACTCCTTTTTTCAGAACTTCTCCTGAAGGAAGGAGTAACAGAACAGAACCCATGTCAGGTCTTGTGCTTGGCAGTTTACACACATTTTCTCATGTCATCCTCACAATAATTCTTTATGGTAGGCATTATTAGTCTCATTTCATAGATTATAAAACTGAGGCTCAGAAAGGTTAAGAATGTTCCTAAGGACACACAGTACGCGATAAAGTCAGTATTCCATCCTAGATCTGATTCTAAAGCTTTTGTTCTATCCTGCTTCCTTGGAATATCTGTCCCCTACCTGCAGTTCTTGACCCTATTCCTTTCTTCTCCTGATCATCCTTTATCCCTTCGGTCTCCGTAGAACCCCAAACCCAGTTCAGAGGAGATCTCCATGATTGCAGAGCAGTTATCCATGGAGAAGGAGGTGGTGAGGGTCTGGTTCTGCAACCGACGCCAAAAGGAGAAGCGAATCAACTGTCCTGTGGCCACACCCATCAAATCACCCATCTACACTTCACGTCTGGTGAGTGGACAAGAAACAAGTTGCCTGAAAGGCACTGGGGGAAGATGATACCTGGAGGGCAAAAAGCCTTTTCCATGTTGGGGAAGATGCTGGTTGGGGGGGTGAGGGGGGCATGCAGTAAATAACTCAACAAACAGATGCTGTATATTAAATATCTAATATGAAGAAAAATAGAGAAGGGTAAGGAGATAGAAAGTGATAGTTGGGAGATGCTTTTTTAATAGAGAGGTCAGAAAGGACCTCTCTGTAAGGTGACATTTCAGCAGAAATCTAAGTGTTGAAAGGGAAATATCTAGGGGAAAGGGTGTTCCAGGCAGAGGGACCAGTAAATGAGAATACTTGGCATGTTTGAGCAATAGCAAGAAAGCCAGAGTAGCTGGGGCAAAGCAAGGAAAGAGGCCAGAAGTAAAAGATGAAATAAGAGAAGTAACAGGGAGCAGATCTCCTAAGGTCTTGGAGGCCATTGAAAGGACCCTGACTTATAATTTGTATGAAATAAGCCACTGGAGGACTCTGAGCAGAGAGCCTGAGCTGGCTGACATGGGCTACTATGTAGAGAATAATCTGTGTGGAAGCAAGAGGCTAGCTAGGAGAATTAAAACAATCAGGCTGAGAGAGGTAGAGGCTTGGGCTAGGGTGGTAACCATGGCAGTGAGGAAAAGTGGTAGGATTCTGAATATACTTCAACTGTGGAGTCAACAAGATGTGCTTATAGCTCAGGTATTGAGTATGAGAAATGAGGCAAGGATGACTTCAAGGGTTTGGCCTGAGCAACTGGTTGAAAGATGCTGCCATTTTCTGAGAAAATGAAGACTACAGGAGGAACAGGTTTGACAGGAAAACTAAGAATTTAGATCTGGTCATATTAAGTTGGACATGGCTCCTATTCCAAGAGGATGTGTCAAGCAGACAGTTATATCTATGGTTTTGGCAGTCAGGGGAGAAGTCATAGCTGGGAATAACTTGGAGTTCAGGCAGACCTGGAAGTTTGGAGAGTAGAAAATATCTTCTCCATCCATGAGAGAGATGGTGCCTGGAGCATGTGGATTGGAAGGTTCTTCTCCATTTTTGGGGCTGGTGATGGTTGAAGGTTAAGGGAGTTGGGGATAATGATGGTGTGCTTGACGCAAAGATGAGTGAAATTCAGCCTTGTCCATGGTGGGACATGGCTGTTTTATGAAACCACACCATTGTTCATTATTTCACCAAACATTTATTGATGTATTGATCTATTTTATGTTGATCTTTGCGCAGAGTGCTGGGCATACACAAATACACAGTATCCTCCTTTTCTCAGAGGACCTCACTGTGTAGCATGGGAGACAGGCAAATAAACAAATGATAAACATGATAATTTCTCTAGGAGAACTTAGTAGTCACAGCTAGCAAAGCCTTGGGAGGTAGTGGTTAGGGAAGGCTTCCCCTAGGAGATAATTATTACCTGGAAGAAATGCAAGAAAGAGTGAAGAGGCACATAAGTTGGGTTGGGAGGGGTTGGAGTTTTCACAGGGGAAAGTCTGAGAACAGTGGCATAGATCAGGGAGACTATATGGCACATTCACGGAACTGCAGGTGGTGCCATACGGAGGAATGTTGAAAGATGAGGCTAGATAGATCAGCCAAGGCCAGGCTGAAGGGATTGTTTGCAATGCTAAGAAACTTACAGGCTTGGAGAAGTCACTGAAGGATATTTAAGCAGGGCATTGTCATGATCAAATTTACTTTTTAGAATGATCACTCTGTCTGCAGTATAAAGGGTGGTTTGGGTGGCAGGGAGAACAGTTAGGATGTGACTGCAATTATCCAGCAGAGAAATAATGAGGACTGAACAAATCCATGTGGTAAGAATGAGGGGGATTGAAGAGATTCAGGAGATAATTAGAAGGTAGAATGATTAGATATTGGTTAATAAACTGAAAATTGGGTGGGGGCATGGAGAGTGATGTAGGAAAGGGAATACTCTGGGATAACTCTCAGCATTAAGGCTGAGCTGATTGGGTAGACAGTGGTGCCACTGATGGAACAAGTAAACACAGGGGAGGAGCTAGTTTGGGAATAGGAAAAAGTGATAACTTCAGTTCTTTTTATTATTATCGTGTTAGAGTGCAGCCTATGGGACACCCAAGTGGCAATGTACATGGACACTTGGAATCATGAGTCTGGAGGTCAGGAGAGAAGCCTGGGATGGAGATAAGGATCGGGGAGTCATAAGCATACACATGGTGGTTGAAATCCTGGGTGAAGAGGAGCTCACCCATGGAGTTTGTATAGAGGAAGCAAAGAGGAAAATACAGGTCTTAACCATGTGGAACACTAGCATTTGAGGGATGGGCAAAGGAAGAGGATTGAGGGAAGAAACTGAGAAGGAAGAGCAAAACAGAGCAAGACATTGCAATGAAATTGATATAAGGGGTAAAGTAGCTGTGAGGAGCTCTATAGGAGTGCTAGAGGAACATGGATGAAAAACAACCGAATGGGGTCTGAGAAGGCTAACTCCCTATTTTGTTTGAAGAACAGATTCAAAGTTAGCATGAAAAATAGCATGGTGGGCAGAAGGAACGGTCTGTGAGAAGGCATGGAATTCTGAAACAACATGATGCCATTGGGGAATCACAGCATTTCAGTCTGGCTGGAGCCATGGGTTAGGGACTAAGACAGAGAGATGGATGAGGGCCAGATCAGGCTGGGCTGTGGATGCTAAAGTACCCTAAAAACTATAAGGATTCACTGAAAATTTTAAGTTGGAGGCAATGTGATTGCTATTCATTCATCATTCCTTTCTTAAAATATTTCTTGAGTGCTTACCATATGCTTGGCACTGGGATTCAGTGGTATATAGGACACTTGTGATCCCTGCTTACAATCCAGCAGGAAAAACAGACATAAACAAATGCCATTTGTGCTGATGGCTCCAGAGAATATGTATGGGTATTTGAGGAACCTAGCCTAGTCCAGGGTGTCAGGGCTTCTCTGAGGGATGATGTTCAAACTGACAGCAGAAGAATGAGTGGACATTAATGGGGAAAAGGTCTGAGTTGGGAGGACAGAGAGGAGAGAGTGTAGGGAGGAACATTCTAGGCAGAGGAAACTGTACAAAGGCCCTGAGGCTGAGGTGGTGGGGAGAGGAAACATGGATGGCTTGAATGGGCTGGAATCAAGGGAGTGAGAGAGGGTGTGAATGAGGAGGCTGAAGTGGTAGGCAGAGACTAGATTATATAGGGCGTTGTAGGCCATGTTAAGGAAATTGAGCCATATCATAAGAACACTGGAATCTTTAAAGATGGGATTTTGTTTAGAGCAGATGGGAGGTTCTTGCTTCGGTTCAATCCCAACCCAGGATACCAGCATGGAGAAAGGCGGTGGAGGCCTAGAGGAGCTGTGAAGGAGCCTTACTCATTCTCATCATTCATTCAACACATATTTGCTGAGTTCTAGGCATGGTAGTAGACACTGGGGATATAGCAGTGAACAGCACAGGCACCATCCTGCCCTCATGAAGTGTATAGCCTAGTGGGGGGCAAATATATAAAATAAATACAGAGGGTGCCCAAAAAATGTATACACATTTTAAAAAAGGAAAAAAACTGTTGAAATTGTAATAATATATACCGATGACAAAAGATGAATACAAGTCATGTTTGACTTCTGCAATTACAAGAGGTGCTCAAAGTGGTTACCATCAGTGTCCAGACACTCCTGATTATGGCAAACTACTGCTTGAGCAACGTTGACCAAAGTGTTCACTTGTATACATTTTTTGGCACCCCCGGTATTTACATTAATAGTTGTGGTGTCATGAAGGAAGCAGATAGAGAAAATGTTCTGACCCTATCTTTTCTTCAGGTCTCATTGGGACAGTCTCCTTGGCGTTAGGTCAGTTTCTTCTGCTTCTGATATGAAGTGATCTCCAAGATATGTAATTAAGCACACAATAAAAGGCAAAATGAAACAGACCAGTGTGGGCACAATGCTACCATTTATATAAAAAATTTAAAGGGGGAAACTAGATAGATAGATAGATAGATAGATAGATAGATAGATAGATAGATATAGATAGATAGATATAGATATAGATATATATCGATATATATATACATATATATATCGATATATATACATATATGTGTATATATATATATTGTTATATATGCATAACCTGTCTCCAGAAGGAAACTTCTTAGAAGCTGGTCGCAGTGACTAAATACATTATTTATTTTAAAACAATAACAAATTTATTGGGTGTGGCAGAAGGGAAGGGAGGAGAAGAAGAGGGAGATTATTGATAACATCTCTTACCATGCTGCCCCACATCTGTCTCCACCCTTCTTGGGCCCCAGCCTACTGAGGAGGCTCATTGTAAATGAGAGCAGCAGAGCCATTGCTGATTAATTAGGAAGTAAGGACATGCTGCATCCTGTTGGGATGGGATGTTCCAAATTAGGGAGGGGGAGGAATATCAAATCACAGCTCCCTGAGCAGAACTTCCTTTCAGTGTCTTTTGAAAACATTCATCAGAGCTACCCCTGTCAGCATTAGATAAATGAGGGGAGGGAAAGTATCAAGATTTCAGTTCAAATGAAGAGGTGAACAGCATTTAGAGACACACTTCAGGAAGGAAGGGAACTAACATTTAACAAGTCCTACACTCTATGCCAGGTATTGAGTTGTAAGTTTTATGAACATTATCTCATTAAATCTTAATTAAAAGAAACTATAAGGGAAGTACTACTACCCTTTTACAGATGAGAAGACCAAGTCTCAGTGGGGTTAGGTAACTTGCCTGAAGTCACACAGGTACGCAGTGGCGGAGCCAGGTCTCACGCCCAGATCTGTTGGGCTCCAAAGTCCCTTCTTTCTATGGCATCTTGTTCTAGGTCCTAAATAGTAATACTGAGGGAGTGATTCCTGAACTGTGTGGGAAACTAAATTACATTAGATCCCTTCCAAATTTCAGAGTTGATAATGCTATGAGATCTCTAGAGCAAAATGAAAAGCTTCAGAGACTGAAGTTACAGTCCTCTGATTATTTCCAGAGAGCCAATTGTCCACTCACGCATCTGAGAAGCCTGAGACAGAGTTGTTAGGGCTGGTGATTTGATGCCCTGAGTAAAAGGAGGAGTCTTTCAGGAAGGAAGAAGTGGGGACAGAAAAAACGGCAGCCTACTGGCCATGTCTGCCACATCAGGGTCCAAGAGGTGTTCCTTTCATCACCAGAGCACTCGAGCATGGCAGTTTTGACCTGTCAATGCCAAAGAAACCTCGCCAGGGGACACACAGGAGGGTGGGCAGAGCCTGGTGTCAGCAGCAGGGAGTGGCGGGAGCATGGCAGAGCTGGAGCTGGATGCTATATGTAGTCCAGAAGCCTTCCTGTGAAATGGAACAGAATGTAGGTTTGGACTAGGAAATCGTCAAGGAAGCTAAGCCCTGGGCTCTATAGCCTGGGACCCAGCATCCCGGGAGAAGCATCCAAGGTTAGAGAAGAGAGTGGAAATCGACACTTACAAGCTTCTGTTATGTTTCAGGTCTCTCCCTCTGGGTCTCTGGGCCCCCTTGCCATCCCTCCTGTCCATAGCACCATGCCTGGAACAGGTGAGCTTTAAAACGAAGTTTCTGAATAACACCAGCATCCCTTTACATAATGGGATATTAGAACTGAAAGGTACCTACCTAAGTCAGCATTCACTAAGTGTATTTCAAAGGCGATGAAAGTCTGTGCTGGAGGAAAAGGGTTCCATGATCAAGTAAGTTTGGGAAATGCTGAATAAGCAAAGTTTAAACAAGTATTTATTTTTTGTTTTGTTTTGATTGCAGCCCTTCTCAGCACTCAAGTGATTTATACATTCTTAAAGGAGCTATTTGGAAGGTTAGAGGAAGTTGGGGTTTTCCAAACCAATTTTCTACAGAACTCTACTTTTCCATAAGTACCAATAGCATTTCAAAGAGCTAAATAGGGTGACCATATGTCTGGATGTGCCCAGGACAGTCCTAGTGTCTGTCCCTTGTCCTGACATAATTATCAATAGTACTGCCTTCCACCCTTCAAAGTATCTTAGTTTGGATGGTAAAATATATGTCACCTTGTCCATGGTATGCTGTTTGGGAAACTCATACACAAGAATTCAGTTTAATCCAAACCTGCCATTTTACAGAGGACAAAAATGTATTTCAGGGAAGGGAAGTGAAGTGAGTCGCCACAGGCCACAGAGCTTCTTAACCCAGGACCTAGACTTAGGTCTCCTCAATCCTGGTTATGCTCTTTCTAGAAGACCATGTACCTTTTGTTTGTGGAGATGGGAATACTTGAGAGGCTGGCAATCTTTAATTGTGCTCTCAGGTTCTCTTTTCCTTGCCTATGTACTTTTCTTTCTTTCCTACTCTCTTCTTTTCTGAGGTTTCTTGTTCTTTTTCCCGTCCTGCCTCTTGGTTTGGGGCTGCATATGCCCAGCCCAGGGTGTGTCCTGGAGTAGGATAATTTTGGCATCTGTTCTTGCATTTAGCAAGTCTGGGACTTGCAGAACCAGCCATGCAACTCTCCAGGGCCTGGTTTGAGGAGAACATTTATGATGAGAGTCCCTCTGGGGCCAGGTGCTAATGCTAATGTGGCAGGAGGTGGGCAGATGATTGGAGGGTAGGGAGAGGGTGAGATCCCTTTGGGGATACATGTCTGATGGGGTATGTCACAAGGTCCCAGAACCCAGCTGCTTTATTTTCCCCCCTGTTTTTGCTTCCCCTCATCCTCAGTAACATCATCCTGTTCCCCTGGGAACAACAGCAGGCCTCCGTCTCCTGGCTCAGGACTCCACACCAGCAGCCCCACTGCATCTCAAAATAACTCCAAAGCAGCAGTGAACTCCTCCTCCAGTTTTAACTCTTCAGGGTAAGATGAAAAGGGCGAGTACAGCAACATCCCAGCAGGGCCAAGGGCCATGTAAGAAGTTGGATCAAAACCTTGGGAAAGAGAGCTATCACAGAGTTGAAAAAAGGAAATGGGGTGGTAGGGAAGGGACAGAGTGGAGACCCAAATTGGACTTTATCCCTAGGGAGTAGGATTTAAAAGAGAAGCTTCAGCCAGTGAGCAGTCCTGGCAAGGAGCTCATGTAAACAAAGCCAAAATTTCCATCCTCACTGGGAAGGTGGAAATTTCCAAACACTCCGGTCAGAAAGGGCCAGGCCCTTCACGGGGCTTAGGAGTTCTCCACTTCATGCCATAATCCTGTCCTGGGCGTTCTGATGTGAGCCTGAGCTTCGAGTGTGGCTGACACGGTGAGAAAGGTAGTACTACTCCCTATCTCATGCTCCCACCTGGAATGCAGTAAGGGAAAGTAGCCTCTTGGGCCAAAGAATCTACTCTAAAAGGTATTTTTAGAACTGATGCCTTGAGAGATTCTTCCCTGATTCAGAATAAAAGAGAGATTTGAAAGTTCGGTGATAGGTTCAAGACCTGAGCTTGTCGGAAGAGATGAATTCATTTGTCCAAACCGAGGTAGCTCAACAAGGCAGCCAGCTCTCATTGGCCCATCATTGCACAGCCTCAAAAGTTGGAGCTCCTTAACCACCCCCACCAAAAAAAGAGAGTAACCATATCATGTACATTAAAAATTCTTTTGAGATATAATTCATATACCATAAAACTTATCATTTTAAAGTATACAATTTGGTGGTTTTTAGTATATTCTAAGGTTATGCAACTATCACCATTATCTAATTCCAGAACATTTTTATCACCCCAGAAAGAAACTCTATACCTATTAGCAGTCACTGCCCATTCCCATCTTCCCTCATTACACTAGCAGCTTTACAATTGATGTGTTTCTTTCTCCCTTCCAGATCTTGGTACCGATGGAATCATCCCACCTACCTCCACTGAGACCAAAAAGTTTCTCCTATTCCACCTGGCCCTGTATTCTCCACTGGAAGGAAGGGAGTCATACCTTCTCTGTATGGACAGATTACTTTCAGAAGAATAGAAGAGAATCCCCACTATCAGTGAACCTAAATTCTTGCCTTCATGAGCAAGGGCCTCCGGAGATCCAAACTGTGATTGAACCATGTGTTGACTCCTAGTGTTCTTGAAATATATACCAATACGAGGAGTTGACCATTTACACCTTCCTTGCCTGTGCCCTTATCCTCTAGTTCTAAATATTTCAGATGGCATCACTGTGGCAGTGGTGTGTCAGAGAAAGGACGTTTTGCCGTTATTCTGCAACTCATTCTGGGGACAGCCATTTACCTGGTGTGCCAAACTATCAGAAGGGGAGATAATGGTTTTGACTCTGAACTTAGCCACAATCTCTGAACTGGTTCTAAAATCTGTGAAAAGATTTGAATCCAATGTCTCCACCAAAGCCTTGATGTTTTCTCTATTCAGCAAAGTTTTCTGACTGAATCTTCTTTCACTCCATTTCCCAACAGCCCTGCCCCCCTTTTCTAGACCCAAATCCATTCATGATTTTGTTCTACAAGTTCCCGCCTCTTTACAGAAGACTGAGTCCCTCAGTCCCCTGGGCAAATTTCTCTGCCTGTAGGTGCTCTTCAGTCTGTTACATCTGTCCCAGAGTTCAGGAGCACTTGTTCCTTCTCTCCTTCCCTATGTTTCTCCTTATCTCATCCTTTTTCCCTTTTACTGGCTGCAGAAGGAAGAACACAAAAGCAAACATGCAACAATTATGCTCGCAAAATACCTGTATATAGCCCTTTCCTGTTTTTGCATTATGTTCTTCTCTCCTTAATGTGGAATTTTTCAGCAAAATGTTTAACTCAGGTGTGAATTTTGAAGACGTCTCTGTAATATTTTATCTTCTTTAAAAAAAATGAAAAAGAAAAAAATACCAAAGTGTGAAATACTGTGCTAGCTCCCACAAGAGTTCCCACATGGGATGGGAATCCTTGTTAGCTTCCCGGGAACATTATCTCTAGTCTCCTTCTTTGTGGGCCAGTGTGTAGAGATGTAACATGAAGCCATTCCAGAAACGGTAACTCTTTTTTTAAGACTGCATATCCAAGAGAAGTTGATATTCAAAGGAATCTCACTGTTCCTAAATAAATTTGTATAGTGATAATATAAACTATTCTATTGATAAGAAGAGGTTTAGATTATTGTTCTGTATCTTTTGTTATGGGGGGAATCTGAGTGCATATGATAAAATAGGATGGGGGAAATGTTTCAAATTGATGCATTAAGTCTATTACTCCCCAAACTGATGCTAAAGATGACATCCATTAATACAGGGCTCTGAAGAGTTCAGAGTTCCTACTCTTTTTGACAGAATTACCTTAAAGGCAGAGAAAGTGAGCGACTTTATTTTCTTATTTTGTAAGTGGGAGAATGGTAAATGTTTAAGGTCAAGTCATTCGGAGACTTAAGAGGTAGAGGCTGAGGTTAAAAGCTCATGTCTCAGATATCCTAAAGGTCAGTTATTTATAATTCACAATGGAAATCTGTCTTAAATAGGTATTTAAGGCAAAAAAAAATTGAATAATCATAAATTTGCCTTTGGAATGCACTGTGACTCTTGGTGAGGGGCTTGAGGGGATAGGGGAGCTATTCTTGTGTTTTTCTCAGGTTAATACAAATTTAAATAGCTACCATTCCTGGGGTAAAAACCTGTGGGAAAGGGAAGCCCTTCAAAAATGTAATGGCTGAAGGAGAAAAACTAAAGTTGGGATTAGATATTTTTCACAAATAATGATATTCAAGTGGAAAATCTATACATAAATGATAAAGAGTTAACTGTTCTTTTTTTTTTTTTTATTTTGTTGGGGAATTGGGGAAAGGGAACAGACAAGTTGCTGTCCTTTTGTTCTTCAGTCTAGTTGTGGAGGACGTTGCTTCACTGGCCCAAGTTAGTATTGTGATCATTGCGCTCTTCCTGGCTGAGGCAGATGAGTCACCGGCCCTTGGACAGCCACTCATGCTGGCTGTCGGCCACTCACAGTAGCTTATAGCAACCTACTGCAGCAAGGGCTGCAGCCTATGCCATCGCCGGTGACTCACTGCAGCCCAGCTCCAAGTCAAACTGTTGTTCACCATTTTACCTATAGAGGGCAATGTCACTGACCCATGTGGGATCCGAACCGGCAGTCCTGCTGCTCAGAGCTTGTGCTCCCAAGCCAACTCTTAACCAACGCGCCACTCGGTCGGCCCCAAGAGTTAACTGTTCTTGATGTTTGAATGGGGCTTATATTAAGACTAATATTTCATGTCACATACTGGGAAAATGTCTTGGTAGGTGGTTTGTTTTGCAGAAAAAATTGAAAGAGGCTTGGTATGCAGCAAACAGACAGCAAGAAGAGCCTTCAACTGTAATTTAAGTATAAAAAGGAACTATTCTGCCACTCTGTGCACATCTGTGCATATACATATATTGCATACATATGTATGTGTGCACTCTTCCTTGTATACTCATGGGTGCCAGAGCTGACTCTTTCCTGTAGCAATCCTGGCTATCTTGACATCTTGCTCAGGTGAGTGCTAATAGTTGATCTGCACTGTCCAAGACTCTGGCTTTTATCCATTTGAACTTTTTTAAAGAATACTTTATTTTTTAGAGCAGTTTTAGGTTTACAACAAAATTGAGAAGAAAGTGCAGAGATTTCTCATATGCCGCCTGTCTCCACACATGTACAGCCTCCCCAGTTATCAATGTCACTCATCAGAAAGTACATTTTTTTACCAAGGGTGAACCTACACTGACACATCATAATCACCCAAAGTTCATGGTTTACCTTAGAGCTCACTCCTGATGTTTGCACATCCCACAGGTTTGGACTAAAGTATGACATATATTCATCATCATAATATCATACTGAGTATTTTTACAGCCCTAAAAATCCTCTGTGCTCTGCCTATTCATCTTTCTGCTCCCTATACCCTTGGCAACTACTGATCTTTTTATTGTCTCCATGGTTTTGTCTTTTCCAGGATGTTGTATAATTGGAATCATATAGTATATAGCCTTTCCAAATTGACTTCTTTTACTTAGTAATATGCATTTAAGGTTTCTCCATGCTTTTCATGGCTTGATAGCTCATTTCTTCTTAGCTCTGAATAATATTCTATTGTCTGGATGTACCACAGTTTATCCATTTATCTACCTACTGAAAGACATCTTGGTTGCTTCCAAGTTTTGGCAATTATGAATAAAGCTGCTATAAACATCTGTGTGCAGGTTTTTGTGTGAACATAAAATTTCAGTTCCTTTGGGTAAATACCAAAGAGTGTGATTGCTGGATTGTATGGTAAGAATATATTTAATTTTATAAGAAATTGCCAAACTGTCTTTCAAAGTGGCTGTACCATTTTGCATTCCCACCAGCAACGAATGAGAGTTCCTGTTGCTCCACATTCTCGCCAGCATTTGTTGTTGTCCGTATTCCAGATTTTGGCCATTCTATAAATATGTAGTAGTGTCTCATTGTTTTAATTTGCATTTTCCTGATGGCATATGATGTGGAGCATCTTTTCATATGCTTATTTACCATCTATATCTTTGATGAGGTGCCTATTAAGGTATTTGGCCCATTTTTCAATCCAGTTGTTTCCTTACTGTTGAGTTTTAAGATTTCTTTGTATATTTTGGATAATGGTCCTTTATCAGATGTATGTTTTGCAAATATGTTCTCCCAGTCTGTGTCTTGTCTTCTAATTCTCCTGATATTGTCTTTTGCAGAGCAGAAGTTTTTAATTCTAATGAAATCTCGCTTATCAATTTTTTATCTCATGGATCATATCTTTGGTGTTGCAGCTAAAAAGTCATTATCATATCTAGGGTCATCTACGTTTACTTCTATGTTATCTTCGAGGAGTTTTTTAGTTTTGTATTTTACATTTATCATCAATTTGAGTTTATTTTCATGAAGCATGTATGCTCTCTGTCTAGATGATAATGATGATGATAATTTTTTTTTTTTTTTTTGCAGGTGGATCTATAGTTGTTGAAGAGACTATCTTTTCTCCATTGTATTGCTTTAGCTCCTTGGTCAAAGAGCAGTTGACTATATTTATGGGGGTCTATTTCTGGGCTCTCTATTTGACTATGGTTTTTAATGAAAAAAATAAACAGAAACATGGCCCCACTGCTCAGCCTTCAATAACTTCCATTGTCCATTGACTTGGACAGTTGCTGAATAGATTCAAACCTGAAAGTGATACCTTTCATGTCTGCATGATTTCATAAAACTCATAATTCCAGTGAAATTTAACCAAAGCTTAATTAGCTTCTTCACCATCTAGTTAGGCATAAGAGAATCTAAGGCCAACCACGTCACTGTCTAGGGGGAAAAAATTGTTGCTGCTTTTCAAATTTCATACTTAGATATTTAGTTGACTCAAGACCTGTGGGCCCAGCTGTGGACGCCTAAGACTAAGGAATTTTGGTCTAACTTAGAGAATAAGCTTAGTTATAGGTCTCAAATTAGGAATCCTGCCCTGAGCACCCAGGTTTTGGGTGCTTCATGCCTCTTCTCTCTGTGCATTCGAATGCTCCTGTTATATTTCACATAGTACATTTGCTGACCCTGCTGCTTCTCCTACTAGACTGGGGAGCTCCTTGTAGTTGAAGCTGTCTCCTTTTCTTTGTATCCCCATGACTAGCATTGTGACTAGCAGTTAATAGGCAATTAATATTTTTAAAAATTGAATTCATTTTTCCCCTCTAAACTTCTAATGCTCTTCCCTGAGGTAAGGAATTGTGAATACAGAAAAATAAGAATACACATCTGGAGGAGACTCTAGTTGAGTGAAGGCAGTGTATCTTAGTAATTAAGAGTACGACCCCCAGGAGTTCATACCTGAATCTGCCTCCTACTAATCATGTCACCTTGGGCAAGCTCCATGACTGCTTTGTGCCTCAGTTTCTCACCTGTAAAATGTGAGTAACAATAGAGTAACTCAGAGTTGTGAGAATTCAAAAAGCTAATATTGAGTTGTCGGAAAAGTCATGACGTACTTTGTCTATATTTTTCAAAGTTCATTTATTTATATAAAAAACAAAGATCAATCAATGATATATTGCCCGTTTTGTTTGATAACCTTTTGCCATCTTTCAGTGAGCTTCATAATTCCTTGTTCATAGAAGGACCTGTCTTTATTTGTGAAAAACTGAACAAGGTGCTGATTTACAGCCTCATCTGAATTGAATGTTATACCACGCAAGGAGTTTCGAAGACAGTGAAACAAGTGGAAGTCTGATGGTGCAAGGTCAGGCGAGTATGGTGGGTGTGGCAACACATCCCATTGAAGGTCCAATAATTTTTGATGGGTGATCAAACTTGTGTGTGGTATTGTGTTGTCATGATGGAACACAACTCTTTTACAATTAACAAGCTCTGGACGTTTCTGGATGATGGATTCGTTCAAACTGTCCAATTGCCAACAGTACACATTTGAATTGATTGTTTGGTTCCTTGGTAGGAGCTCAAAAAACACGACACCTTTAAAATCCCACCACACTAAGAGCATAACCTTCCTCTGATGAATGTCTGCTTTCGATGTCATTTGAGGCGAATCATCATGTCGGGACCAAGACCGTTTGCACACCACGTTGTTGTAAACAATCCACTTCTCATCACCTGTTATCAGTCGCTTCAAAAAAGGATCGTTTTCCTCACATTTAAGGAGCATATTGGCAATGTTTATACGCGCCGTCAAATGAACTTCATTGAGCTTGCTTACGTATCCCAGCTTCTTCAGGTGGTTGTGAATGCTTGAATGATGGATGTTCAATATTTCTGCAATCTCTTATGTCATGTAATGTGAGTTTGACTCGATCAATGCCTTTATTTTGTCGTCATCAACCACGGTGATTGACAAAGGAACATCGTTGAGATTAAAATCACCAACATGGAATTTTGTGAACCATCATTGGCACTGACATTCTTGTAGAGCATTGTCACTATAAACTTGATGCAACTTTTTACAAGCTTGATGCGCGCTCTTCCCTTTATGGAAGTAAAACAGTAAAATATGTAAAAAATGCACAGTTTGGTCTTCCATCTTCAACTTGTTGTAAAACCTCCAAAACTCAACTAAATTGCTCAATTTTTTTTTAGAATGAAGCTAGAACTGTCAGCTGTCAAATGACATAGCAATAACATAGATGAAAATAACTCTAGTACTTCCAAAAATGAACTAGTGCCATCTGTTGCAAACATGCATCCTGACTTTTCTGACAACCCAATATATATAAAGTGCTTGGAACAATGCTTGGCATATTAATAAGTATCATCTATTATTATAGTTGTCATTGTTATTGTCATTGTTATTCAAATAAATTGGTGGAGAGCTTCATGTCTCCTGCTCTCCCTAACAGCCCAGAGCTTTTCTGGGGGATGCCACTATTGACAAGGATCTGATTTGGTAGAAGAATAATTGTACCCAAAGATATATAAACAATAAAACTTAATCCTAGATAATGACGTTTAAACCTAGAATCTGAATCACCTTAGGATAAAGGCCCAATAGAGTTCCCACTGGAAGAACTGGCACCTTCCTTTAGCCCCTCAGCCTTTAGACTCCTGAAGACTTTGATACTCTATTCTTTCCTAGGAAATGGTGGCAGCAAGAAGAAAGTTCCAGATTCAGGTACTAAAAGGAAAAAAAAATACTGCAACAAAAACAAATGGGGAAAGGTTGAGATTTGCATACTATCCACTTAGTGAAATGGATCTTCTCGTGTTTTCTTCAGGCTATCATTACCTCTTATCTGTTCTATTCCAACCCACTTGTAACAGGTTGTCTTCTCCAATTCATTTTATACTGATTTTAGTTGAGTATCTGTATAGAAGGGGTTCTCAACTTTGGTTGTACATTGGAATCACCTGGGAAGCTTTAAAAAAGATTGCTACCCACACAGATTCTAATTTACTTTATCTGGGGTGTGGCCTGCACATTGCAATTTTTAAAAAAGCCCTCCAGTGATTTTATTGTGCTATCAAGGTTGAGAACCACTACGCAGATGTGTATACATATCACTGGGGACCTTGTCAAAATGCAGATTCTGATTCAGTAGGTCTGGGGTTAGGTTCTGAGATTTTGTGCTTCTAACAAACTGTCAGGTGATGCTGGCCCATGCATTGCACTTTGAGTAGCAAGGGCTTGGAGGACATGGTGAAATTATTCCCTTGCCAATAACATCATAGGTTTTCTGTTATTTGTATAATAAGATAACACAGCCTGGCATCTCAGGCTGGCATCAGCTATTTAAGATCATCTAACAGTAGTGGTTCTCAAATGTCACTAATCATCTGAATGAACCCTTGGGAGGTTTTAAAAGATTCCTGCACCCCACACTAGGCCTACTAAATCATAACCTTCAAGGTGCAGTCTGCACAAGGTATTTTAAATACACTTCCCAAGTGGTATACACAATAAGATTTAGGATCCACAATATGCTTCCAATATACTTTTCCAGCTTCATTTCCCATTCATTCAACCAGCCAACATTTATTGCACCTGCTTCATACCAAGTATTCAGGAAACAAAGATGAAAACAGTGTAATCCTTACTCTTGAGGGGTTGCCAAGACAAATGACCAAAATTAGACAATTTACTGTTCCCTGGACCTAGCCTAAATGTTCACAGCTCTGCTGAAGGTCTTCTGCTTTTATGAGTGTCTAAGCCTGTCAGCACCCCATCATTGCTTGCATTGATCAAACCAGATGCCCTCTCTCCTGTATTTGAGTCTCTATAGTTTTAGTCATCTCTTCAAATTTACTTTCCTTGGTCTTAAAATAGATCCAGAGAGGAGAAAGCATTTGCCCAAAGTGACATAACAGCAACAATAATTAACATTTATATAGTGACTTTCATGTGCCAGCCATTATTACAAGCACTTAACCCATGTTAAGTGTCTAAAATTATCACAATAACCTATGAGATAACTATTATTACTATCCCTGTTCTATGGATGAGAAAATGGAGTCACAGAAAAGTTAGGTAATTTGACCAAATAAATACACATATTCAGTAATCAAGCCAGGTTTACTCTTAAGTGTTATTATGCTCTACTGCCAAGTTGGTGACAGGGCTAAAAGAAGGAATAACTTCTAATTTCCAGACCTGAGCACTTTTCTGGAAATTAGTTGTTTGTGTGCTTGTTGTACAACTTAGATTCAAGCACAAGAGCAAGGACTAGGTCTTGCATCTCCAGAGTGCCTAGTACGAGTGCAAGCACTTAGTAGGTGCTCAACTACTGGTTATTGAATGGGCTTTCCCATCGTGGGAGAGGTAGGGGAATGGATAATTATTCAAACAAGCAAGAGCAACAGCCTGCAGGTCTCAAGTTGCCACTAGATCACCACCACTGCACCTCCACCCCCCCACCCCCACACACACATCACACGATTTCTAACACAACATTTTTGTACTTAGCAGTTTACGTGTTTATCTTCCCAACTAGNCACCCCCCGTAGCTCTGCCTGGCGCGAAGGAAGACCCTTCGCCCGCTTTCGGAACGTCCCTCGTCCAGCTCAGGCTCTGCGCTCCGTCCTCCCAGCCACCAGGTGCCCCTAGACCCCACTCCTCTTCCATCAGAACCTCATCCTCTTCCCCTCTTCCCGCTGCTTCCTGCTCCCTGGATCCAGGCCCGGAGCTCCAGGCCCCAGGCGCCCAAAGTTTCCCTGTTCACTCTGCCAGGTAACAGCGCGGCGCGAACCACCCAGCTCCCGCGGCCAAGCTGGGCTCTGGACGCGGGTGGCACAGCCCACCCGGCCCGCTGGCGGGGTAAGAGGCAGGCAGATGGCCTGGCCTCTGATGGGAGGGGCCTCCTCCTGCCTTTGGGAGCCGGAGGCCTTTCTGCGCCGGGCTCCGGAGCCCCGGGGATGCCCGCCTAACGGTCCGGCTCAGGTGTACCCGGGCCGTGCGTGGCCGGCAGTCGGTAGGCGGGTCTCAGGGAGATGCGCTCGCGGTGACTGCGAGATGCCCAGGTCGCTGCTCGCCCCAGCCACGCCTGCTCCCAGGCCAGGAGCCAGGTGAGCCCGCCCAGCGCTTCTTTACCCTAACCTGGGCCTGGAACGAACAGCAGGAACCTTGAAATTCTGAGCTGGAAATTCTACATTCTTTCACCCAGAGTAAAAAGCCGAAACCCAGAGATGAAGTGACTTTCCCAAGGTCACAGAGTTGTATCTGCCATTTACAATTGTCTGTTCTTTTATTTGTTTTTGTAAATGGGCTACTGTTTCCTCTGTTCTGCCAGGGAATTAGGATTCAGGGAAGAGGACTCTAAAAATACTAATCGGCATATCCAATTGAGCTGATCAGCATTACTGGCCGGTGACCCTGGGCTTTAAAAGGAAATAAGAGAAGATGGTTCTTTTCACTCTGGGTACTTTGTATTTCTGGCCTTTACTCTGAAAAATTGGCCTACATATTTTACAAAATTTATCTCAGAATGGACTGGATTATAGAGGTTTTCTTTATGTCAATATTTTTTTCAATTACAGTTGATGGTTCAATATTATTTTATATTAGTTTCAGGTGTACAACATAGTGTTTTGACATTAATACAATTTACAAAATGATCCCCCCATAAGTCTAGTATCCACCTGGCACCATACATAGTTATTACAATGTTATTGACTATATGCCCAACGAAGTAATGTACTTACATCCCCCTGACTATTTCGTGACTACCAATTTGTACTTAATCCGTTCACCTTTTTCACCCAGCCCCACCCTCCAACCACAATCTGGCAACTATCAGTTTATTCTCTGTTATCTATGAGTCTGTTTCTGTTTTCTTTATTCATCTATTTTGTTGTTTAGGCCCCACATATAAGTGAAATCCATGGTATTTTCAGTTCTCATTTTTCTTTTCCCTCTCAATTTTTTTTTCCTTTTTCTTAAAAACTGAGGCTCAAGAGGTTAAAGCGATTTGCCCACACACTCTTATTGGCTAGTTAGGGGCAGAGACAGAATTGGAACTCAGATCTATGATTGATACCTACTGTTTTCTTGAATAGAAATCTGATTTCAGATGAAAGCTGTACAGAACCTGACCTTCATAAAGCCCTCTCTGGGTAGCATTCTTGGGAGTGGCTTGTGTATTGAAGTGTGTTGGTCCACAGATAGTATTTCACTTGTAAGAGTAGGATTAAGCAATATGTGTATCCATGCAGAAAATTCCTGCTGAGATGAGACAGATATCGGAAATATTTTTGACTTTCTTCCTTGTACTTTCAACAGAAGAGCTAATGAATATTAATAAAGGCATCTTGGTTATTTTAGATTTTAGTCCTGTATGACTAAATCGACTCAGTTATAATCATTCTTGTTCTGATATCTTTGTCACCAGTAAAAATTTCAAAGTGTAGTTTTCTGATTTTGTTTCATTTTTAATTAAAATAATTGCCTTAAAGATATTTTTATATCTCAATAAAAACTTCCCACTTATAACCTCAAAATCCTGCTTCCTCCTTTGTCACTCTTTGAGTTGGATTTCAGAACTGAATAGAACTAGAATTTATTGTCCCTTCTATAAAATCTGAACTCTGTTAGATTCTGTATTTAGGTTTACCTCAAGTTTCGATTTTGGCTGATAAAGCCGTGAACCAAATCCAAATTTCAGTTGAGTTTACTCTCAACTTAAAACCACATTAAACTGCCATGTGTCATAGGATCTCTAGCAGAGTCCACAAGTGGTGGTGGTGTTTTTTTATGAGAGCTTCTTATTGGGATTTTTGAAATGTGAGTGCATTATCTAATACATGTATTATATCACCACATATCATTGTCCAAGGTCAGTCATCACTGGGAGGTTATTAATGACATTTACTTATCATAATAATGTGTTATATTAGACAGTCTACTAACTCAGAATACAGTTCCTGGTTTTCAGTTTACAGCTTTTACCAGTTTTCAACAAGTTATCTTTAAAGAACATGGAGTCAGAAATACAGCGACACTTGATAGAAGATTCTTGGCTATGTAGATAGTCAAGAAGTGCTTCAGTGAAGGCAATATTTTTGTACTAGTCTATAGTAGAAATGAAGATTATACACAAATGGACCCAATGCTCTTTTCTTAGGGTGCATCATTTGTTTTTATGATTTCAGTCTTTTCATCATAGGATGGCATTAGCTCTGTGTCTGCAGGTGCTGTGCAGCCTGGGGGGCTGGCTCTCGCTCTACATTTCTTTCTGCTGCCTGAATAAGCACCGAAGCTATGAGTGGAGCTGCCGGCTGGTTACATTCACCCATGGAGTCCTCTCTATAGGCCTCTCAGCTTATATTGGCTTCATTGATGGCCCTTGGCCTTTTACCTACCCAGGTAGGTGGGAGACAGAGGCTTTTCCCTAAGGGATTTACAATTTGGGAGTAGTCTTAGAAGGATGGGATTTTTTTCACAGAATTCGTACAATATCAAAGAATATTGAAAAATAATTACCAGTATAATTTTTGTTGGGAGTTTTCATTCTTCACTGTTAACTCTGATATTGTATATGTCACTTGTTGTTCCTGCTTTTCATAACTCTACTTTTAAAACAAATTTTAAATGTTTGTTATAATGTAATTCATCAAAATGTACAAAACATAACGCCAATATCAACATCTTCCACTACTACCCTAAACAGACTGTATTATACATAGTTTTTGGTAACCTGCAATTTTTAATTGATTACATATTCAAAGGACATCACTTTCCAAGTTTATGTATATATATATCTTCCTTTTTCTTTTTAATTATTATAGAATATTGTGTTGTTTGCATTAACCATCATTTATTTAACCAGTGCCTTAGTATTTGGGGCAGCCATATTAATTTTTAAGCTGCTAGATGTACAAGTGTTACTTTCGTAGAATACAAAAATTATATCCCCTTGTATTAGTTTGCTGGGGCTGCCATAACAAAGTAACTACAGACTGGATAGTTTAAACAACAGAAATCTATTTTTTCACAATTCTGGAGGCTGGAAGTCCAAGATCAAGGTGTTGGCTGGTTTGGTTTCTTCTGAGGCTTCACTCCTTTGCTTGCAGATGGCTGCCTTCTTGCTGTGTCCTCACAGTCTTCCCTTTGTGTGTGTTTATGTCCTAATCTCCTTGTTTTATAAGGACAACAATTACATTGGATTAGGGCCCTATTTTAACTTAGTTATCTCTTTCAAGGCCTTATCTCCAAATACCGTCACATTCTGAGGTACTGGGGCTAGGCTTCAACATATGAATTTTGGGGTGACACAATTAAGTCTATAAGTCCCCTAGAATAAGATTTTTTTAAAAATACCTCAGACTTTTAAAATTTCCTTAAGATATTGAACTTTTGAGTTTTTCCCCAAACTGTCAAACTGATATGAAAGCAACTTTTAAGCTTTGTGTCTTATATGAAGGTTCTTAATGGATTTGAACATGCCAGATTCTTGTACCCTATGTTCTTGGACATGGGAACACATTAATTTCTGGGGCTTTTTCCAAAGTCCACTTTCAAGATGGGTTAGAGTCACCAGTGTCCAACAATCTAACCCAGTAAACTACAAAATTAATCTGACATTCAGGACAAGATAACTAAAAGTCCTGGAAACAGAACTTTAACTGCTTAAAAAAAATAAAAGGAAAGAAACTGTAGGATTTTAACTGAAAGAACAGAATAACTCGATTTTATGTTGCTACATAGAATGGATGCTGAGATCATTGCTGGTGCTTACATCACTTATTGAGATCTGATTCATCAGAACAGCAATTTCCTGGGGCCTGTAACATTGGTTTGATGAAGACCAAAGTTTTAGATTTTAGTCTTCATTAAAAAGCATGTGCCTGCCATTGTTTTTGCTTTCAGTGATTTAAAAAGGTTTGAGAGACAACAACATAAGATGCCTGTGTAAAGCAGCACAATCCCCAGTCACTCAATTTGCTTCTGTTTTGGTTTATTTCAGGCTCACCCAATACACCTCTCCAAGTGCACATTCTGTGTCTCACCTTAGGCTACTTCATCTTCGACTTGGGTTGGTGTATCTACTTCCAGTCTGAGGGGGCCCTGATGCTGGCTCACCACACACTAAGTATCTTGGGCATCATCGTGGCTCTGGTGCTTGGAGAGTCAGGCACAGAGGTCAATGCAGTCCTCTTTGGAAGTGAGATTACTAATCCCTTGCTACAGATGCGCTGGTTTCTTCGTGAAACAGGGCACTACCATAGTTTCACTGGAGATGTGGTGGACTTCCTGTTTGTGGCTCTGTTCACTGGAGTGAGGATAGGCTTAGGAGCTCACCTCCTTTTCTGTGAAATGGTCTCATCCAAGCCCAAGTGGTTTATGAAGGCTGGGGGGATAGCCATGTATGCTGTGTCTTGGTGTTTCATGTTTAATATTTGGCGCTTTGCATGGAGGAAAAGCATCAAGAAGTACCATGCCTGGAGAAGCAGGCGGAGTGAAGAGCAGCAACTAAAACATAATGGACATCTCAGGATGCACTAGCCAAGGTTTACTCTGACTAATGGGTTGAGTTGTCATCCATGGGAACCCGGTTGGAAATATGGCTGTTATGGAATCATGTTTATATAACAAACTTAGGTTTCAAAAAGGGCTAAATTTATCAAACAGTTTTCAAGTGGAGCACATACCAGTATTATAACACTAACTTCTAGAGTGATGCAAAGTTGTAGAAAGTGAGATTAATCAGTGGTAGTTGTTGAGTAAGTCAGAACTGCATTCCTTTAGTTCGTGGTGATCTGGGTCCTTCTGTCCCTGGGATACTTGATGTTCGTTCAGACAGCTTAGAAAAGGACTCTGAAAAGATTAGTGCTATTTCCTCCTTATTCCTTTGAAAAGTGACTCTTTCAACAAACACTATCCTGCTTTCTATGTAGCAATTTAAATACATTCACCCCGTTTACTATAAAATGAGGAACTTTTAGGAAGATATATGGCTTTGGCATTTTGAGCCCAGTGGGATCACGCAGGATGTGCTTAATTCCTGTAGCAATGATTTGTGACAATATGTGTGAAATGTCTACCAAGGAAGTCCTTTAGAGACTCAGTGTCCAAGTTTTTCATTGGGGTCTGGTCATATAGGCAGCCTTTGCCTGGCATGTAGCAAAATTCCTGATTCCCAGAAGGAAAGTAGGTATTAGGCATAGCAAGCCAGTCTTATCAGTTAATGGCTGCAGCCCTTCCAAAATCTGTGTTCCCAGATGCCAGACAAGGGCCAACCTTTCCAAGGACAGCAGTTCAGGCCTGTTAACTCTTTTCTGTACAAAACCATAGACCTGGGTCTTGGATGAGAGATGAATGAGGTGTGGGCAGATTTACCGAGACTTGTAAGGGTTCTGCTGTTCCAGGTGAACCATGCCTGTTCTCAGGATTTTGTGCATTAATCTCCTAAGCATGAGAGGCTGTGACTAAATTCCATAGGGATTTACCATGTGGCTTCCACTGTGCTTGAAATGGCAGTTCAGATTTCAGGTCTGCTATACATACTGCAAACTAGAACCAAAGACTAAAGTGTGTACTGGCCCCAGGGTAATGAGGCTTTTTTTTTCTCCATCCCCCCCTCCGCCCCCGCCCCTTTTGGATACATATCCTTTTAGTCTTCTTACTATTTGTTTTGTCTGAAACAAGTACTACTATCTATGGACAAAATACAAGGTCAGTCTTGGAAGGAAAAAAAAAATTCCTAGTGTGATACTCTCTAATCTCACCTAGGAGAAAAGCAAGAATGTAAGTTTAGAATAAGAGGTTTGGAATCAAGAATTCCTGGGTTCTTTTAAAGAATTTTGCTACACGCTTGCCAGATCATTGGGCAGGTCACTTGTTTACTCTTTGCCTCAGATTAAATTCTGTTGTGAATGAATGAAATACCCTGTTGTGTATTTCATAGAGACATTATTTTAATAATGGAGGTCTTTAATGTAGGGCTTTTATGAAAAAGTAAAGTATTATTTATTTATATGTTTATTTGATTATGTTATTCAGATCAGTGGTGATGGGTGAGCAAGTGTATGGGGCTATTAAAGTTAAGGCTGAAGGTCAATAGGAACTGTCAGCGTATTCTATGGTCACTGGTAATATTAACCTTATGAATGGTCTTGAAAATGGATGTCATTGGCCAGGCATGGCAGTGTGGTTGGAGCCACATAAATTTGTCATTGTTCCCAGCAAAGCAACTTTAAAGGCATGTTAACAGTGGGTCTTTTAAAATGACTCATGTGGTTAAACAGTTTTGGTGGACATGGAAATAACCTCACAGTAATATCTCCATCTCTTTTTTTCTATGATCAGTATCCCTAAAATGCTAGCTAGTTTCAACAAAATTGTGGTCAAAGTAGGATGCTAGGGAATGCTGATTTTAGCAAAGGCCTAGTTAAAAAGTGTGGCTTGGTGCATGAGCTTAAAAACAAAAGAAAAAGCTGGCTCTTAAATTTTGGCACAGTGCAACCTGTTCCATACCAGACAAATGAATAGGCTTAATTTGGTACCAATTCTTTTCTCCTTACTCCTCAGAAGTGAAGGAATTGCAGATCTTGCTGTTTTGGGGTACTCTCATGGGAATGTATGAGGGTCTTTTGAATTTTTAGAAACCGAATGATAAGGAAAAGAGACTCCCTCATTTCAGCTTTTCTTAATGTTGTAGCAAATAACTGTGAAGGAACCTCTCTGAGAGAAAAATGTGAAATGAAGATGACTTAGCAGTTAAGATGCTGAATTTTTACATCACTGGTAAATGAAGGGCTAATTAACATTGTGGTATGGTCAGACAAAATGATGTACTTATTTGCATTTGGGTTACTATGTAATAATGAACACTGCTCAAGAGGATTTATATTTCAATAAGATTTGTACTAAATTTTATAAAAATAAATAACTTTTTATCAACCTAGAGCCTGCCTTTATATCTTTGTTGTGGTTTTGCCAAGAGGTTAAAAAAAAAAGTCTTTTGGCCTTAGAAATCTTGCCCCATGTTTATATTTTTCAGTGAAATACCTCTTACTTGCTGCTTATCATCAACCATTCCTAATATTCTTTACGTTTGGGAGCAGCAATCTACATACAGAAAAGTGTGCCAAAGAGAGAGGAAGAACTTAATTTCTTTCTTATTTTGCCCCATGTGGGAAGTTGCCTCGAAAATGATGTTGAGTAGACTCCACAGGGCCTTCGGCTCTTTTCAGAACTGTACTTCCAATGCCTAGAACAGTGTTAGACACATAGTAGGTGCTCAATAAGTATGTTGAAAGAATGGATAAGGGGATTAGAATGTGATTTAGAATAAGCTACCATTCAGAAACCTCAAAGAGCATGCACAGTGGATTGGGTCACCACTGTCATTTTTCTAGGTCAAGGAATAATGACCCTGGGGAGTGTGTTGTGACTCTTCTGAAGGCATATAGATGGAGGCTTTAGAACAGTCTAGAGCTACCAACACCTGTAAATAAGCTTTCAGGGACATTTTTACCATTAGAGCTTTGTGGGTGAATAGAGATTTTCATCATTAAAAAATAGTTCTGGAATGAATAATGACTGGTTTAATTAAGTCCTTTGCTTACCATCTTCTGAAACTTTCCCACAGCAAATGCCTTCTTTGCTCAAAGCTAGAACTTTGGATTTGTTTAACTTTGGAAAGATCTTGAAAGCAGTCTGCCAAGAGGTTTTGTATGCAAGGAAGAAAAGGTGAACCAGGAAACTTTCCCAGTTTATTTTATTCCTGAAGCTCAAGTAGTGAGGCATTCTTGAAGGGAAGAGAGGAACTCATTTTTAAAATACACGATTGATGAGTCATTAGGTCCAATTAACTTAATATGTACACTGTAAAATTATTAGGATAGAGCAAAAATGATATTTAGTACGTTTAAGAAAGATATAAGTTTGGGTATAAGTTTTACATTGTGAGCATTGTATATAGATGGATGGAAATCTTTCCAGTTATATGAGGTCTGACAGTTAAGTTTATGAACTTGTTGCAACAATGTTGCTAACCTGTTGTAATATTAGAGGGATTATTCATTATGAATTTGTACCAACTGGACAAACAGTTAACAAAGTTAACTATTTGGAAGTGCTGAAAAGACTGCGTGAAAGTGAAAAAGTTAGACAACCTGAACTTTTTGTCAACAATTCATGACTCTTGCATCACAACAATGCACCAGCTCACATGGCACTGTCTGTGAGGGCGTTTTTAGCCAGTAAACAAATAACTGTATTGGAACGCCTTCCCGTCTCACCTGATTTGGCCCCCAGTGACTTCTTTCTTTACCCAAAGATAAAGGCAATACTGAAAGGAAGACATTTTGATGACATTCAGGAACATCAAGGGTAACACAACGACAGCTCTGATGGCCGGCCATTCCAGAGTTCCAAAATTGCTTTCAAGGGTAGACTAGGTGCTGGTGTCAGTGCATAGCTTCCCAAGGGAAGTACTTCGAAGGTGACCATAGTGATATTCAGTAATGAGGTACGTAGCACTTTTTCTAGGATGTGTTTGCTAACTTAATTGTCCAACCACGTATGTAGAAAATATGCAATTTAGAAGTTTTCAGGATAGAATTGTCATGCCAGGGTACACCAGCAGGTGGCAATGTGTCCTGGTCTGATCATTAAGTGGCTTAGAACCCTCCTAATCGGCTTCCATTCTTTCCCAAAATAAACATTACAGAATCAGCTGGCTGTGCCCAGACCTTAAAAAAAAAATCAAACAATAAAGAGTATTCTTTGGCCTCTGTTTATCTTTTCCTTTTTTTGCCCTTCTAACGTCAGTCTTAGGGCATACATCTATTCAGGGATAATGATCCTTTCATGAACTGTTGGGGATTGCCTTTTTAGAAACAGCATTGTTAAGAAGTGTTTCCCCTCTCCACACCCACTGTTTACTAGATTTACTTTGCCACTTGATTTCCACAGAAAAGTTGAGGTCCCGTGCCCATCAGTACAGGTTTAATCTCAAAAGTCTGAAAATATTTGGTTAAAGGCTAGCCACTTCAGATGTTAGCAGGTGGAGTTAAGGAACTATATTGTAGGTGGTATTTAAATCGCTACAATACCTAATTATGCAATCACAAAACTGGATGGATATCTAACTCTACCCGTTAGGGGAAAAAATAAAAGGAAAAAATTTTGCAAACTCTTCAGAGAGAACTGTATCACTATCTACTGAATAAATACGCTTTATTTTCTACTCCCATTTCTTTCCACAGTAAGCTTGTTAAGTCGTTGTGGAAAGCACCATGCTTTCTCAATTTGGCAAACAACGCATTTCATTTTGCCCAAGCAGAAGCAGTATTTTTACCAGGAAATCAGGAAATCCTTACTCCGATTCCCAACCTTCTCCCCAGCTCTGCACACTTCACTCCTCCAACCCTCTCCGGGCAGCCAGGACTTGGGCGCGGAGGCCCCAGGTGAGCCGAAAAAGGCCAAGCCTCTCTGCTGGGGTTTTCAGTCACCTCCACCTGAGGTCGCTTCCAAGGGTCAAAAGCAGTCTACACGTGTTATAGTAACATAGAAAGTAAAGAGAACAAGCACATTCCCTTAAAGACTAAAAGTTTTTAGGACAAGAGGGAGGGTAATTTCCAAAGAGCCTCTCATCCTCAAATTCTCGCTCTTGCGGGAGCGCTCTTTGGCGATCTCTGGTTAAAATAAAGCTAGACTCCAAAGTACAGGTTTCCAGCATTACTGGGGGTCTGGGGTCGACGGTGGGCCGGTGGGAGGGGCTCTAGGGCCGGACAATTCCCACCTCCCTCCGCACCCCCCCAGAACTACTTTTTCGCTTCGCCAAACAAGACTCTGGTTGAGGCGACCGCGCCAGCAGCGGGGCGCGCAGCCGCAGAAGGGGCGCGAGGCCGCGGGGCAACCCAGACGGGCGGAGGCCCGGAGCGGCGGAGGGATCACGGGTGAGGCGAAGCGAAGTCCCAAAGTCAGAGCGGAGGAGGCCAAAAAAAGTCGGCGAGGGAGGGGACGAACTCGCTCGCACTGGACGCGGCGAAGCTAGAACCGGAACCGGAACCTGTGCGTCCGCCGGCAGCTGCCTCTTTGATTACCCACCCTGGCCCGCCTGTTCCCCCCCCACCCCACCGCGGCCGAAGGATTCCTCCGCCCGCCGCGCGTGCTCCCGGGAGTGTCCCGGGATCTGGTGAGCTGGCTCTGCTCCACGAGTCCCCGCTGCCGGCACCGCCGCCGTCCGTGGCCGGTGCTTCCAGGCCGGACCTGACGGGAACCTCCCTTCTCTCGCGGGAATCGCCGCCTACCGGCTTGACGGGGAAAAACCTCCGCCTCTGCAGACTGCGGGAGAGTCCGGGCCTCCGAGGGATGGGGAGCAACTCGCGGCGCTAAGAGGCCAGCTTCCTGTCACTTCTGGCTGCGGGACTCCCTATCCCCGGCACTCGCGCTTGTCCTAGCTCCCAGAATCGGGTGGGGGCGAACGAGGAAGACGAGAGGGGTCCCCCGGACCGGGGATATGGAGCCGCGGGTGCCTGGCGCGGAACGTCCCGAGACGCGGCGGAGTCTGCGGCCACGAGCGGCCGGCAGCCCCAGATAAAAGAGACAAGAGGGCCCGGCTCTGCGGCGGCGGGGACTTGCAGGCCCCGGACACTCTGGAGGAGGAGCCGACACCCAGTCCAGAGCAGATCCCCCCGCCCTAGCCCCGGAGGGATTCCCGGGCACCTTCCCTACTGCTCGCCGAAGTTTTCTCCCTGTGCCTTCTCGAGGATTGATCTCTAACTCCCGAAATTTGCCTTCTGGCAGGCTTTTTCGGTTTGTTTTGGGAGGTAACTTGTTTTGCTCCCATCCACATCCCCCTTCCTTGGCCCTTTCCGATCGGACATTCTAGATGACTGAATGGAGTTTTAAGTTGGACGTATTTGTCCCTTACGGAGTCGGGCCTGATACCAGCGCAGTGGGGGTGGGGTGTCGGTGTTCCTGTAAAATGCAACTTGGATAAAAAGGAAGACCTCTCGTCAAGGGCCCCAATGAGTGGCACACAGTCAACTATCACCGACAGGTTTGTATGAAGCTCCCCCCTGCGCTTGGCCTCCCTGGATTTGGCACGACCTAGCACGAGTCAGTGATTGCCTTTGACCAGTGAAGTTGACAGGCCTAGGAGAGAGCGTTGTTTAGGAGCTCTACAATTAGTCTAGGATTGCTGCCAAGTTAGTTGGTTGATTGAATTTGGAAACGTAGTTTTTCTGGAGAGAAACTTGACTCCAGGTTCTCAGAGAAGGGGCACGTAAAACCATGATGTGGTTTTCTGTCTGTAGTATGCATTAGGATTCAGTCCTTACCTTGGAACCAGAGGAAGATCATTTTAGGGGAAGGTCATCGCCTGAATTTGGCCGGGTATTGGTGCATCATCAGTTTTACTCCTTTAGTTCTTTAGGAATTTCTGTTTGTGAGCTTCATTCTGAGGCTGCTGTATGATGATTTATGAACTTGATCTCTTTTAAGCATTGACATGCATAGTGTTTATTATCTAATAGTTTTTCAGAATGTTGAAGTTACTGGGAAATCACAGGCTCTTGCCTGGCGCAATATCAAGGAGCTAATAAAAAGGGGGGGAGGGGAATCATGGGACTTGATTTTAATTTTTGCACTTTTTGGTATTTCATCTTCCAGAAACATTTCCATTTAAGGGATACAAACCCTAAGCGAATTATATAGTACAAGCATGGCAGGTGGGTTTGTTCAGGTGGGTTTGTTCAGTTCTGTGAGTCCTTTGTAGTACTTAACTATTTTGTCTGGTGTTTGATGAATTGAGCTAGACTATTGGTGGTTTAAGTGGAGTTCCTTTGCTCTTAATAATTATTCTTCTGAATTTTAGATTAAATGATAAGAGCATATTAATTCTTTTACTACATTTTTTTTTCTCAATTTGATTATGACATTGTATCCTTGTCCCAGATTTCAACTTGGTTGTTTTGTTGTTTTTTTCCAGTCAACCTTCAAACTATTATATAATTTTTTAAAAAAAGATCAAATAGCTGAATTAAGGGGCTAAAGAAAGTACTTTGATGAAAAGTGCAATAATAGTGCTCCTGCAGAAAATAGTTGAATTTCCTAATAAGTTTCACCTAATTGTAAGACTCATTCGGTGACTTTAAAAGGGTCAGATTCCATTATCATACCATAACAGCTACTCCAGAAACAGAACTTCCTCTTCCTGTTGATGCTTTCCAGTGTCACGTGAATGTTTACCTAAAAGATACTATCAAATATTTAAACTATATTTATTCTTTGATTGAATATTTAGAAAAATGTTTTAGTTTTCAGTGAAATAATTTTCAACTTTTTTGAGAATACACTTAACGTGAGTAGTAACAATGCTTATCTTGATTTCTTCTAGGTGTCTTCATTCCTTTTCCTTTCAGGGTGGTTTGCTTCTGAGAAATCACTTTCGAGGGTGTGTGGATAATTGTTATCCTGGTTCATTCAGCTCTCTCCCCCTCTGTTGGGCCTGTAGACAATAAGTCTTATTAGGAACTAATGTAGTGTTGGTAGTTTTCATTGTGATAACAGGGGTGTTTAATTTTGTAGAAACAAAACTTAGGGTCACCAACTCATTGTGCACGAAAATCACCTACAAGCCCCTAAGTAATGACCTTCCTTTCTCTTTGCTTCTCAAAGATTTTCTTCCTCTTTCCATTACCTTGGAAATAAAATCTTGGGATTTGTGTCCTTTTTATAACTTGGATGAGATATACATATACAATAAGCATGCACTTAATGAACGCCAATTCTTTGCCAGGCACTGTGCTAGGTCCAAAGGATTACAAGATGAGGCTTCTGAGATGAAACTGCAAATTGGTTAGGGTGTTAAAAGCCTTGAATTGGTTCAGGTGCTGCATGATTTTACATATTTTTTAAAAGAAAAAAAAAATCAACCTTTAAAGCCATTTAATTTAATAAGCACTGCTGAGACATTATACAATAGATACCTGTTTCTTAGAAATTTATTAACAGGTTTTTTTGTTTTGTTTTGTTTTTAACAAGAATTGTTCTTATGTGATCATTAATTTTTCCTTCAATGGTCCTTATTCCTTATATATCAATAATCTATTTGCTCTTTAGGAGAGTTGTTGTCCCTGATTTGAATATACTAGTATGTTGGGGTGAAATACTGTTTTAGTGTTACTGCTGTGTCAGCATGCCTTAACAAACCTGAGTATTGAATAGTTCCTAGCTTCTCAGCTCTGCCTACCTCATCCTCTTTTCTCACTAACTCCAGTGTACTGTAGGTATATCTTGCTGATTCTAGAGCTGTTGGCAAATTTACAGTGCCAGTGTAGCTTTTTAAAGATCCTTTCAAGTTTGAAGTAGTGTATGTGGTCTGGCTTGGTTTTGTAGAGTGTGCATATCCACCAGGCCAGCTGTGTTAGAGTTCTTTCATTGTGGTGCTTCTGACTACAGAGCCTGTCTCTCCTTAGCTGAAATCAAACTGGCTGGTTTTGGGCGTTGTTGTTTTGCAGTTTGTGGCAGGCGACACATGGCTGAACAAGATAAGAAGGTTTTATTTTTGTGTTAGGGACTTCTGGGGCTGGGATGGAATTCAGCTATGTTTAGGCTCTGATTGGTCACTTTGGATACTCAGAAGTCTGTTACATCCTGTTATTAGTTTGCAGTTAAATTAACACATTTATTTACTCTTTGCTTCCTCTTCATCTTCTATTCCCCAAACCTCCCACCCCCTTTTTAAAAGACATATCATCTATTTAAAACCCAAACTATGTTCATAGTAGCTACTGTTTTTATGTAGTACATCTGAACAGCTTAAAAAAAAAAAATCTAAGCAACTTGTGAATATCTCTGGTCTCTTGCTTTGTAACTTCTGTGAGAACTGGAGATTATAACTTTCAACTTTTAGAATCAACACTTAAAAGGTGGTAGAAATATCCGATTGCTGCTTTTCAGTTTGCATTGATTGCTGCATTCAGTCCTAAAATATATCTGTGTCCAGTCCTCCAAGATGCCTGCCTTCTGTCCCTGAGAATTTAGGGGACTTTTGGCAATTGGAATTACTGCTGAGAAGTAGAAGAGAATGACTGGACTCAAATTATTTCAGGCTAGGTTTTAGAACTACGAATTTTCAGGGATGGTACAGGTTGGATTTTGTTACTAGGGTCTTCCTTGAAATAAATGGGCTTTTGTTTAGAACTTAACGTATTTTGTTGTTTTGATTTATAACAAAGGTTTTTGATGTATTGGCATTTTCTTAGCACTGAGTTCAGCTTTAAGCTTGTTTAAGTAAACTTTAAAAGTGAGTGTGGAAACGTGTGACTTTTTATGCATATACCCAGTAATTAGCATTTTCATTCATGATACTTTTTCTGCCAACATTGCCATATAATGCTTTTGATTACAAAACAAAATAAAAAACTCCGGTATCTGTGCTATTTTCAAGGTTGCCTGAATCATCTACAAGGTGAAATTATTTGTAATATTTACTTGTAAAGTCAGTCATTTGATAAATACAAAATTGAAATTGGAAATCAGTATCACAGCTTTGTTGTCTTTTCTTCCAGTTCAGTAAAAATTCCTGATTCATACAGGTATGCCATAGTACATTCACTTGTTCAGTTTTACATGAGAAACATGCATAGTCTGAAGTAAACTTCTTAAAAAATACAGAGCTGTAGTCTTCCTGATAAATGGCACATTTATAAGATGTTCATATTCAATGAGATGACAAGAGAAGCTTTATTTGAGTCAATATAAAAATATGTTAACCTGGCAATACTGCTTAACACATTGATGGTTTTCATGTTAAAATGTAGTATAGAGTGTTGAACTAACGTAGGATTTTTTAACACTAAGTTTGAATTTTCAGTTTAAAAAATTAAATTTGAGGCAAACATTGATGGGACCCATAAATGATGGATTGTACATATTTTTCTATGGAGCATTGTAAATAATTTCAAGGAAAACAGTTGGAAAATCTTTGCATAAACACATGTGGTTTTTACCTTCTAAAAACCATCTAGAAAAGGGCATGAATTGCCTACCAAACTGATATATAGGTCACAGAAACAGCAGGATATTTTAATGGTTTTTCAAAAGGGAATTGGAGAAACTCTTTTACATTATGGTTGTCTGACAAAGTTAACTAGAAATGTTTCTTATATAATTTCTTGTCTCCTAGAAATTGACCATGCCACATTTTCGGGAACCCGGAGCTTAACAATTTGGCCTCAGGTGTTAAAACTTGGCTTTGATGAAGTTTTAAAGCTTCATTTCCCTTTTAATAATTAAGTCTTCAAAATGGTGACATTTAAACTGAAATTTTAAAATCGGCACAATTATAAATATGTTGTCTCCTTTTGAGTAAAACACCCTCATGTATGTACTGATATCCTATGGTAGTGTAATTCTTTAGCATATACAATGTTTTTGTCTCAGCATAGGGAAGATCATCATTTATACTTTAGGCAACTCATAGAGTTTAAGTCAAGATTATAAAACTGGAAAGGACAGACCCAAGATTTTAACCTAGATTTTCTGGTGCTCAAGTTTTCTACTTTTTCACCTTAAATTATTCCCTTTCTCTGTATATTATTTTTTTCTGTCCTGCTTTCCTTTAGTAACTTTCCAACCTGACCAGGTCAGAATCGGATATTTTCTCTTGCAGGATGCTTTTTAGTACCTTATCCATTCTAATTTTAAGCATCTCCAGAATAGATAGATGCTCATCACTTCCTCAGGAGAGAGAACAAACAAAAATCTGATAGTAGTCAGGAAGTTTTCCTGGTCTTTAGCTCAAACTTTTAAGTTGTCCTGTTTCTTGGATGTATTTGCTGTATAAAGCTAAATAATCCTCTCCCCTCATTTTCTGTTTATATGACTCTAAATGGTCCATCACCCTTTCCCTCCCCTAACCCTTATTTTTTCATTAACCAAGTTGTACGTTTCTGTTGATTTGTTGTCTAAAAATCATTCTTTTCCTCATAATATTTTAGTTTTCTCCAATTGCTCTTCTAATGCAAAATGTGATATTCTGTACTTTATCTTCAT